CGCTTTAGGTAAAAATCCGGGCATTCGCTGGAGAATGGAAGTGGCAGCAGGCTAATCTGACTCTCAAGGCTCACTCACCAGCAAACACGGTTCCTAACGAGCGAGTTCGCAAAGCAGCCTCACCCGGATGCTGCCCATCGAGAACGGTTGTCCAGAGAGATCCCTGGACTAAGCCCTCGGCAAGTCCAGGTGTGGTTTCAAAACAGGTAAGTCGACTTAAGAGGAAAAGAAAAAAAAAGAAAACTTGTTCGAAGTTCTGGGGACCAAGTGCAGGAAGAGGTCGCATGCAACAGGGGCCTAACTCCTCTCTTAGGCGTGCGAAGATTAAGAGACTCAACGCCGATGACCGTGACCGGATGATCAAGATGAGGGCTGTTCCAGATGACTTTGACAACGTACAAGCCTTACACTCCCCTTATGGAGCTGTTCATGGCATGCCGATGCCTCTGGCTGGCCCCGTGGATTTTGCACACCACCCGTCGTACCCGAACAATCCGATCATGAGGCCCCTGATGGTGGATGTTCGTCGTCCGGAGGGAACAGACCATTTATCGCCCACCGGACTCACGCCTTCATTTGGCAGCATCGGCTTCCATGCTCCAAGCACGGTAAACTCGTCTGGAGTAATGTCGCCCATATCACCGCATTCTACGGACCGCTATCCTCCTCATGGAGGTGGCGGGCCACATAGTTCTTTGGAAGCGCATCATCGCCAAGGAGCCGGGCCGCATCAAACGTTCAATGGCCGAGATCCGATCTCCAGACCAAGATCCGAGTCGCTACAATCATACTATATGTATTCAGGGGCAAATACACACTCTAGTGTGTCTGACCGTTCTCCGTTGGTCTACCAGTCCAGTCAGATGAGCCAAGCAACAAGCGGTAGCTCGACAGGCGTTGACCGGAGCCCGTACACAAGTAAGTCGAAGTCTTCCTAACGGTATCAGTTGAGGAGTAGGCTAATGGAATTTCAATCGTAGGCGGGGGTAATGCGCAGTCATCACCGACGGGGTTGAGCTATCCCAACTTCCATCAGACGCCCGAGAACGGCTCTCGCCTTCGTGCTGCCTCAGCCTCAGGCCCGTTGCCCCTGAACACGACAGACCACTATCGACCTCTCCACTCTCCTCAGTCACATTCCCATCGGTCAACCGGGCCGTCTGCACAATATGGAGCTTCCTCAACATACCAAGCCAGCTACGGTGCAGCTCCTTTGTCAGCGCCGTTGACGCCTTCATTGGCAGCACCACAGGTGCGGACATCAGTTGGGCCATCAAGTGTCCGGGACTACCAAGACTCGGTGGGAACTGGTGGCTTTCCCCATGCCTTGCCGAGCGGGTTGAACGGCCATGATTCTCGAACAGAAACCAGGAGCGTGTTTCCCAGCGGGATATCAGGCTATGCCAGCCAACAGCAACGGAACGAGAGCTACGGCATTAATGACTTGAATGGCACAGTTCCCTTCAAAAGAGAACGGGGCTATTCGAGTCAGGGAGGCGCAACCTCGCCCCTGGACAAAACGAGGCCCTCGATATACCATAATTCAAGCTAAGCAGCAATCAGCTCTGTGCCTTGGGTGGCGTTCTCGAAGAACAAGAACATGTGGTCGCGATGATGAATGAACCACTTAGTTTTTACCGCCGCAACTGGCCATCAAAGGCCAAGTGAGCGTAACAATTCGGATATGGGGATAGGCTCTACGGCCAATTGGTTTTCGACAAGTGAGTGCCTGCCATACGGCACGCATATCCCATTTTCTTTTATGTTATTATATCAGCGCCATGCATATGGGGCCACGATCTTGTCCTATCCGGGACTTGGATATGTTCCCCCTCTTTTGACCTTGGTTGCCACCCTCCCCCTTGGAGTCGAACAGCAAGATGATTTACGCATTGGGATTCATTACAGACGGGCCGGGCCGGGCTGGGCGAGGTGGGCAGGCGCGACAATACGGGTGATGATGCCGTTGGCTCGTGGGTATAGCTTGCCACGGTTTCAAAAGCGAACTTGTTTTACAAAACTAGCTTGTCTGATGGCAAAAGGATGTGTTCAGTTGAGTCTGATGCTGCCTATTCTGGGCTGGACTTGGAAAAGAATAGCTGGCATTTACAAAAAAGCATTGATCTGGAGCAACACGACGGGACTGCGCGCGGGATCCAGAATACCGAATACCCTCCTGGAGTTGGGCACACGACGCAGTTTTCATTAGGACATCCGGCCTTTCGGTTCTCTTCTTCCTCTTCTTCTTCCTCTTCTTCTTCCTCTCCTTCTTTTTATTTTCCTCTCTTCTCTTCTTTCCTATTTCCTCTTCCCAGCTTTTCCCCCATTCCCTTCTTCGGTCTTTTTTTTTCTCGTTCACCCAATCTTTCGTTCTCTTCACTTCTCTTCTTCTCGTTCAATTGTATAGATTACAAGGATATGCCTGATTTTACTCCTTCCTCTTAGGAGCTTGGAGAGATGCGGCACGTCGAAACGTGGCCGTCTTCTCATTTTGTTTCTTCCCTTTTCTTCACATCACCCTGTATATACACGGATACTTTCTGAGCAGCCGGATGCTCCTCGTCGTTGGACGAAGATGACAATGGAAAAGGTTTATTTCCTGGTGTCACGATGATAGTAACTCTCTCTCGCGGTGACTGACTGGTGACTGTGAAGTACACAAGAGCCGCTTGATGCTGCAGGTTCCATGTACTTAAAGCAACAAACTTTTGACTTCCGGGCCCCGTGATTCAAAGTCACACCGACTGATCACTGCTGTTCGGTTTCACTCGTATGATCGATCGGCTTACCTGGACGCGAGACCCGGTCAGCACGTGAAATAACGAATACGAGCTCAGTTCCCTTGCGTTGAGCAAAGCAATTCACCACCAGTCAGTCAAGCCTATTGCTTCTCCGCAGGTAGCCAAGTGGTTGACAGTGATGTAAGCAAAACACACGAGATTGCTTCACTTCTCCTGAAAACGGCAACATGGCAGATAGGTTTACCAGATGTTAGGTGTCATCACGATGGGTGGGGTTTTGGGTTTAAAGACGATGCTTTACGGGTGTCATGGTAGTTGATTCGGAGGTGGCTTACTTTCTGCAACTTTGGAGTAGGTAGCCTTCTTGAGATACCGTATGTATGGGTTGATATCTATATGGTGTTTATCGTACGCTGATGCCGTAGCCTAGATTCCGATTCTGAGGATTTATCCATAAATGGTGCATCACGAATGGCGATAAAGAAAAGTAAGAGCTGAGACCCTGTCGAGTGCGCACTTCGCACAAGCCCCCGCCAACGACAGTCCTTTCTCCCATATCCGGAATAACACATGGAATCATGTAGCGAGAATCGGAGTTGAAATGTCACTTGCATCAGGTCATCACCGCATCATGGTAGCCGCACAAAACGGGGCCCTCGTGATGATGGTTTTAGGCAAGGTTGCTGAAGTGTGCTCTGGACCAAAGCAACAAAAGTGTATCGAAAAAAATCGTCGACGGCATCGAGGAGCTTGTCACTTTGGAAAGTGACAATTGGCCGAGGGCGATTTTGTGTAGATATTCGATTTTGCTGGTCGGTATAATGGTTGAGAAAAAAGAAGGAAAAAAAGAAGGAAAAGGAAGGGAGGAAAAGCTAGAGTTTTCTCGTTGGGAATGGAAAACGCAGGGTCATGTGATTTAGCCTGATGTGTGCTTCTCCGTCTTCGTGCCTTTGATGGGTTGCAGCGTGGGTGGCTCCCTTATGTAAGCATTGGGTCATACCTAGTATGAAACGAGGATCGAAACATCTCGAGCTTTTTGGCGCGTTGATTCACCGATGGGGAGACATCAGTGTACGTTCAGCACAATCGGAGATGGCTCTGTGAATCGAGGTCTAGGTACAAGAAATCTTCATAGTACTGTACGAAAGACTACTACTAGATACTAGTAGTAGTGTTGCATGTGCCTGACCGTGAGTGAGTTGTTATGGCGAATTGTCTCTGCTGAGGCTGAGACATGCATACGGTCGGCATGCCGTCGAAGCCTTTTGCCTAATACGGCGGAAGATAGCCGAGAGCCTCGTACCTCGCCGTCCCCAGCTGATCGAAGCCACTGCCAAGGTAGCATTCTTTGCTTCTATTCTTTGCTTCCAACTCGTCCCCCCCAGCACTCGTCGTCGCCGCTTCGCTCCCTAAGCGCCTCTCGCCGCCCTTGTCACACTGCCCGTCACCCCATTCACTCGCCCGGCAACGTTGCGTTTTCTCGGGAGAAGCGCAGCACGCAACGCAACAGCGCACGCACAGGCTTCTGGCGCATCCATCCCTCGGCAAAGACCCGTGGACGCGTTTGCTTGGAGCTTAGCGCCGTTGCCCTTCTGTGGCTCACCGGACGTCAGTGCTGACAGCCGCTGGAGCCCCCCCGTTGCGTTAGCAGCCGTCTAGCACCTGCTAGCCCTTTGAGTAATCCAGTGGAACCTGAAGTCCGCCCGGCGATTGATTGCCTCGTCTTTCAGGCTCGCCCTTTGCCGTTCTCCCAGCCAACTCCACCTTTTCGCTTCTCCAGCCCAGCGTTTGTCGCCTCTCAACCCTCAGCGCTTCCATCATCGCCCCCAGTCCCTCGCCCTACAATCGCCCTGCCCGTCGAACCGCCGAAGCGACGCATTTCCGACTGCCTCCGCCCTCGATCTCTCTCTCTCGAGTGCGCCTTTGCGCCACGGCGGAATCTCGCGCGAACTCGCCCTCCGCACCCCCTACCGAGACCGGAAAGAAAACCCTGAAAGGCGCCAGACCTTTGCTGCTCTTGGCTCGCCGACGCGGGAGTTGGGGTGTTTTCATTGCAGGCCGTTCGCCCTCCGCCATCGTCGGGTCATCTCAGAGACGTCGGCACGAAGGGCTCTTTCTCAGGATCACCATCTTCTTTGGCCCGGTTGTATGAAGTCGTCCGCCTGAAGTCGGAAGTTTCCCCTTACCGCAGCCACCTCTTGGCCGACCGGCCTGGCGCGACTCGCCACTCCAGTCCCTCGCAAGGAGCCTTGGTTCATGATGTCTTTCCACCCCCAGACTCCCCAAAGTCCCTCGCAGTTCTCGCCCGCAACCTCTTCGGATCCGTCCCTCGGCTTGTCCGGCTCTGTGGCCGCCGCGGGATCAGGAACGACGACCTTGCCTACGCCTGCGCACAGCGTCAACGGCAGCTCCTCGCAACTCGACTCCTTCATCATGCTCGACGACTCGCCGCACAAGCGAAAGCGGCCGCTCGAGGATGTCGGCGACGACGACCGCGAGCCGAAAAAGGCGCACGTCGAAGACGGAAAGCTGGCCCTCGAAGACTTGCACCTGGACGTGGGCCCGAAATATCTCCTTCTGCAATCTCGTAAGACTCCCTCCGTTGCTCTCGTCTCGCTCCTCCGCCCTTGGAAGACGCGACCTCGACAGTTCGCTGGGATGTTTTTCTTGCCGTTCCCAAGATCCCTGCTTTGTTGACACTGCTATCCTTCTAGCGCATCCCGAGTCTCTTCCTAGGACGTCGGAGGATCTCTACGAGATGTTTGACTTGACCGGCTTAGCTGCCGAAGTCGCCAGAGAGAAGCCAAACGGCGAGAAGAATGCGCTCCGCAAGACGTACAAGGGCCACATCAAGCGGCTAGGCGTCGCTGGACACTTTGACGTCCAGAAGAAGAAGGAGGATTCGCCCTCGGATTTCCTAGCCATGCTGCAGGTTCCCGACCACGAATGGAACGTCCATCAAGTCAAGGGCCGCGCCCTCATGGACGGCTTGTCTGAGATGACCAAGTCGTCCCTGGGCCGCGCCCTGACCATGGCCAAGGGCCCAATCGCGAAATCGGTTTGGGACACGTCGGTACTGGGGGACATTGGTTCTAATGGTGATAGCTCAAAGGCGCCGTCCGCGAAGCCGACGGCGCCCAACACACCTTTGATATCCATGCCTGGGGCCGCCATGAGCCGCCCCAAGGCTCAGCTGCTGTCCGGTCAAAGCCCCGCCCGGCCCCAGCGGAGCATCAAGAAACGGTCATACGGCGACAGCAGCTACGAGGGATACGGTGAAGGCTTTCCCGATGATGATACCGGCCTTGAAACAGGCTATTCTACGGGAGAAGGCGAAGGGGGCCAGAAGCGTCGGAAGAAGGCAAGCAAAAAAAGTCTTGATTCTCCCTCATCTCACCATTTGACTTCTAACCTCTTGCAGAGTTCAGGAACAACGCCGCCTTACCCAAGCGCTATGCGTCAATCGAGCTATGGCCCTGGAATGGTTGGAGTATGACACCTGCACCCTTCCAAGATCCATCATGCTGTCTCATGAGAGTTGACCGAAAGTGATCTCACGGAGAGCTGAAAACTATGCTCTCAAAAGCATCTGTCGGCTTTCAGTTCGTTGCTGATCTGAGGCATCGGGCAGTCTGTTGCCCATGGGCTGGGACAGGAAGAAAAGTTATGAGAACGCAATGGGGGTTATTGTCACTTCTACAGGCTCTACATCATGATACATGAAGGCTCGGCTCACTCAGAGAGGTCAAGGGGGTATCCGCTTGTTTTCAATGTTTCTTCTTCTCATCTTTTTTTATCCGCCATCTACCTTTTGTTTTTTTGCGTCCTCGGACAAAGAGGAATCATATTTGCGGTTTTGTTTAGCATGGCGTTTGGGAGAGGCCAGAGGTGTGTGTACGTTTTGACGAGCAGAGGCTTCTTTCTTTCTATTCTCAGAAGTGGTCTGTTTCGTCCCTTGTTTCATGTTTTCTATTTCAGTTTCCTCGCTTTTTTTTTCTCGCTTTGCTTTACCCTTGTTGTTGTCTGTTTTGCTTTTATGCATTGTATTCGTTTTATAGCCCCTAACATAACAAAGCAGCAAAAGGGCCGGTTGGAAATACGAAACCAAAAAAAAAATTCGGGGGGGGGGGGGGGGGGGGGGGGTGTTGGTTTGTCGGAAGAACGAAGCGCTGAAGAGCCGCACAGAGCCACAAGATTCCCATGATGAGGGATCGCGCGAGAGTGGGAAACGATTTGGACGGGATATGAGACGGCTGAAACGAAAAAAATAACAGAGCACTCCTGAGGGTTCGAAAGACAAAACGAAACGTCTTCCGGGGGATTTTCTTTTTCGAGGGCGGTTGGGGGAGACAGACACGTGTGATATAGTTGGGGTCCCAAATCTCCCAACCCCCTCCTTGTCACGAGTTATAGTTTTTCTGTGCTCTCGAGCGATGGAAATCAGGGGGGGTCAAAGGGGCGACGATGGGTTTTATTTTCTAATGGCCTGCCCCCCCTTTTTCTTTCCTAACTGCTTTTCGGGGGAGAACTTATAACTCGTTGTGTTTGTGTGTTTATATCAAAACAGATACCCGTAGATTGGGAAAAAAGAACAACACATATCAGAAAAGGCTGGTCTCAGCGTACTCTTTTGGCACACAAACGATTTGACTTGCAAGTTGTTTTTGTATGTTCTTGAGTAGCACGCTATGATAAATCGTTTTGAGACGACGGCAAAAAAAGCTTACGACTATGGCGCGGAGCTGTAATAATAAGAAGAAAGTTATAATGCGTTACTATTCTGTTGTTGTGACGGCTTCTTCCTTGCTAGCAAAAGACTGAAAGTGACAAAACAAAGTAAGTAAGCCACATAGGAAGACGAGGAGAATAAAATTGATGAATGAACAGAGCTGAGACAGTATTGCGCTCATAATAAACGCCAAGATAAACTCTACCCGCTGACATTGAATCGTTGATACTTCAGACACATCCATCACATGAAAACAGTCAAATTACAACACCAGATGGCAATGTATACATCAGCGAACAGCCCTGCAGATGTGAACCGAACTCCTTCAGGAAAACAAAATGACAAGATCACTGCCTCTGCTCCCGTGGGCCAAGGACACCCGTGTTCTCGAGGCCGCCAAAGTTGCCATTCTCAACCGTAGGATACGCCCCTCCGCTCATCTCGACCCAGTTCCAATCCAGGCTCATAGACAGGGAAAAGAGGTCTTGGGGGAGCACGGGTTGCGGGAAGCCACGACCGCTGGGCACCGGCGGCGACTGAACATCGGCACCGAACCCCGTCAGATCGCTGAAGGATTCGAACTCAATGTCCTGGGGCATCTGGCTGTCTTGTGTCCATCCCATGGAGTCGACTGACGGCGACGAGCCCAACGGCGTGGCCTTGTTGGCTGCATTGTGAATCGAGGCACGTGCTGCCGCAAATTCGGGTGTCAACGTATCGTGGACGTTGGTCTGCGGTGTCGTCGTTGCTGTGGTGCTTGTCTGCTGAGGGGTCTGGGTAGAAGAGGCCGGCGTCATCGACTTGGCGGTCGCTGCTGTGTTGGGCGAGGAAGACTGATGATTATGGGCGTCTATGCTTCCTGGGGTATCCGCGGCCTTGCGCTTACGTCGAGAAGATTGTTCCTTTTCAGCCTTCTCAATGACTCTTTGGGCGATTCGGCAAAACTCGGAACAGATGCCCAGCATCCTGTGGACACCTCCCTGCTCCGCTTCCTGACCAAGCATTGAGAGAAATGTGACGACGAGATTCATCAGTCGAACGTCGGACTTTGCTCGCTGATCGAGAGGATTCTGTAGAATATTGCCGAAAAGGGTGACTAGCGCCGAGACCGGGAAGTAGAGAATCAACCTGAAAAGCACGTTTAGTTGCTTCTTATCTTGATGCCATGAAGGATCGGGAAGACAAGATCCAAGGCTCTGTGGGACTTACCAAACGCAAGAAAAGTCTCCTTGGGGGATGTACTTGAGCAGGGAGATGGACGCTCGCGCTGCTGCTGTTGAGAGCATAGCAGACGAATACACTCTGGGGTTGAGTGGTCGCACGTTCTGGCCTGAGATGGCATAGTTGGCAAGCCGGCTGGTCCAGAAGCCGTGGTGAACTGACATGCGGTGGATGGTTGTCAGGCAGTTATAGTAAGTAAAGTGCACCATGACGATGTGAAGGATCAGAGGCGTGTGCGAAGCCCTGATTTCATGCTCAGGCCTAAAGTCGATGGGGATCCGGTCCTTCCACTCCTCCAGCTGTTGATCTAGCTCTCCAATTGTTGCAAGGAGCTCGCCGTCGGATTGCTTTGCCGCCTTGGCCGCGTACAGCCTCTTGTAGACATTGCTTTCGATGACGGCAAATTCACACATGACTCTGAAAAGATTCATTTTGCCCTTTCCATCTGCCAAAGGGATGTTGCCAATGTTGTCCTCGGGGTCGGCATCGGGAAGCTCGACGTTCATGTCGTCGTCATCCTGGGCAGGTGGACGTCCTGATCTCAAGCACAGGTCCTTGTCCAGCATGTAAGCGATCCAGAACACTCGCTTGCGCTGCTCAATCTCAATGGGGTTGAGGTTGAATCCCGTGCCCTTCTTGTGGAGGCCAATGCTATGCGAAAGCCGAATAGCGGCAGCGATCAGCAGGAAGGTCGGCTGGGGATTGGGCGTCCCCTGCATGAAGAGGGCCATTCCAAGCAGGGCCTGGACACTCAGCAGATCCGTGTTACGCATGGTGAGCTCGGCAAAGACGCCCATGGCATTCTTCAGATAGCCCCAAGCCTTGTCATCCTCCTCTTGCGGAACCAGATTGCTCATGACCCGCAGGCGATGAGCAATGGCCAAGGCACAGTTGAGACTTGCCCACCAACCGGAGCCCTGATATGGATCGTCGGAGTACTGGCGCTCGACCAGGTGCATGAATGTCGGCTGGTGGAAGAGCGGGAACATGCAGTTGAAGTTCTCGAAGTAGTCCGTGAGCAGGGACATGGCCTCGGCCTTTGACGGAAGGGGTTGGAAAACGGGTCGCTGAAACAAGTCCCTGAAGATTTCAGGCTTCCAGTTTGTCCACTTGTGGTCATCTTCGGAAACTTGGGAGATCATGTTCTGGAAGGCGGCATCGCCCGTCTTGTTGTTGATCCACTGGATGCCCTTGGGTGAGAAGATGGAGAAGCCGGACGAGGAGCCTGCGCCTTGTTAGTCAAGCATATCCAGCAGAAACTGCACTGCACGCAAATCAGTAATGAGTGGCGGTTACCGATGTATCTGGTTTCTCCGCAGTTGTTCGTTACCAGTGAGCACATCATTTCCGACAAGGCCTCGACTTCCTCCTCGCCCTGGAGGCTCACGGGCGTAGCGATTGGCTTGTGCTTGTCGTCCTGTCTCCTGTCCTTGTCCTTCTGGAAACCTGGCGAGGTCACCGAGCTTCTGGGAGAGGCCGTGCCATCACTCTCGAACGTGAGGCGCGAGGGCGAAGAAGGGGCTGAGCTTTGAGCGCCAGCTGTCTGCTGTGCCTTTTCGGTAAGTCTCTTTTCGAGTTCAGCAAGGTCGTCGTCGTCATTCACGAGGATGCCTAGAGGGGAGAGGGCTTGTGTAAGTGACTTTCAACTGGATTCGACAGAAACGGATGAGGAGCATACCGGCCAGCCGGAGCAGCTTTTCCATGCGAGCGAGACGGTTCTCCAGTGCTTCAATGTATTTGGCTCTGTTGTGTGTCAGCTTGGTGCGTGAACGGCAGTCGTCGGGCATTCGTACCCCTTTGGCGTCGCCCTCTTCTTTTCAATCTGGGTGAAGATGCATTCGGTCTTGTAGTTGGTGCAATGAGTGCATGCCGGCAGCTTACCGTCGCACTTGATCTTTTTCCGTCTGCACTGGTCACAGGCCTGGAGCATGGTGAAGAGGTTCGTCAGCATCTCAAGCAGCCCTGGCGAAGATTGCTCACTTGCGGCATAGACGTGTCCGCCTTGGGGAGCGTAGGGAGAGCCTTACCCTAGCAATCCTCCGCCTCTTGGCATCGTTGCTGTCATCGAGCAACAAGCTAGAGTCTGGAAATATATGCGCTGCCAAGTCCGGAGGAAGTTGCTGCACAGAGGGCAGGCCATCGGGAAGAAATGAGCCAAAGATCTGTGGCGGTTGGTTTGTAAGCGGTGGTGGCCCTACTAGAGGGGGCACCTGGAACATTCCCATGCGGTCCATGCTGGCGGTTCGATCAGGCGCAGTCAGGGCTGATTCTGCTTGTGGAAATCTCTTTTCATTCGTGCTGGCCTGGTCCGTCTGCGGCGTGTCTGTGTCGTCGTCCTGCGATAGGCACCGGTAGACACGACCTATGTATAAAGTAGAGGTATGCAAAGGTGGGATGATCTTGAACCAGTTGAGACAAATGGTGAATCGGCAACGCGGAGCGCCAATATGGGGGGTTCCGGCGAACAGACAAGGTCCCCTTATCTTTTTTGTCTTGAAGATTGTCTCAGAAGCGACACCAGGTGTAGCCTTGCCAATGGCCGTTGTCGTTTCGCGCGCGCACTTCTCACTGACAATAGACGGCTGTTGCTGCTCTGCCTGCTATCGCCTGATGCTGGAGGGTAGGTAGGTATAGTATAGGGCTGGCAGAGTAGGTAGGTGGGATAAAGCAGTCGGGTGTCAACCAGTAGAGGCTGTATGTCGATGCGAAATGGTCTGGACAGGACTGCACAGCGCGATCTCTGTGTGAAACCCGGACAAAACAACGGGCAGTAGGAGGTAGTAGTAGGTAGTAGTATGTGCGAGTATGGCGACGGCTGAGCGGAGCGTCTCGGACTTTAATCGTAGCTGAAAGGCCGCCACCAGGAAGCTCCGCGGCGAATAGGGGAACAGCAGGTGTCGTGAGGAAATCTCCGGATGCTGAAGGGATGAGAAACCAGTCTCGGGCAGAGAAGAAGCGAGTCTCACCAATGGAGGAGTGTTGGGATGCGCATCTGAGGCAGCGCAAGAGAGAAGAGAAGAGGGACGAGTGAGTGTAGGTATGAGACTGGATGGAGGACGATGACTTGAGTTAGTAGCAGGCGACTGAGGCTACGAGGTTCTTGGCTGGCTGGCAGTTTGGTGAGAAACAAGCGGGGACCAGCACTAAGAAGAAGCCCGTATTTGGTACCTACCTAGGTAGGTACTATCTGATACTACCCGTACCTCTACGGTACCTACGGAGGATTCGCTGAGTTCAGGCTACATACCGCATGTACCTTGGGTGTGCTAAGCTCCGAGTTCCAGCCATGCGCAGGTGCGTAAGGTAAGGTAGGTACGTATGTGGTTCAGGTACCTCGTGCGTAGCAGCGCCTCCCGAGTCCGTCGTGGTGCAGCGCTGAGCGAGCTGGGGAGGACGTAAATACCTGTACATACCTAGGTAGTGCTGTAGCTCCGTATCGCAGCCACGCCCGTCGAGCCTCGGAGCGGCATCGAATCAAATCAATCGAACAAATCAAGAATCAAATGACAGGTCGCTCTGTTGTCTTCCAGGGATCCATGGGCGTCTTGCCAACAGCTGAGCCCCCCCAAGTCGAACCCACTCCGGGGGGGAGGGGGGCCTCTGAGCCTCTGCGCGCTCCGCCTGATGCTCCCCCCAGGTCCCCTGATATTTGCTACCTAAGAACTAAATACATGGTAGTAGTTCTAAAGATCCATTACCAGAAGGGAAATGCTTATGCGCACGAGTCCAAAATAGTGGTACATTCACGGCTCGATTTACACTGTGATTTAATGACCTCTCTCTCCCAGACTCTAGTCTACCTACCTAAGGCACTTCTTGAGCAGCTACCTACAGATACATACGAACACTACTATACATGTCAACGGCATGTGGCCTGTCTTGGAAGTTCCTTCGGCACCTGCAGCTCCCCCGTCCGGGGGGGGCCACGCGTGTCTCAGCGCCACGAACAGTTGAGCGCCTTCAACATGAATGTTCACCTGCACGTCCCCACTTGGAAGGCCCCAGTGCTTCTCGGCTGCCGCCCAGCGCCCATCAGCCCACTGATGGATGCCCTGTAAGCTGGCTGGGGGCCCTGAACGGCTAGAGCCTTGGCTGGAGGTGATATCGTCTGGCGTCATGCCGCTGGAGCAGCCGCGCCACTACAGGAGCTTCCAAACATCGACATACAAATTCCAATCATCGACAGACAACTAAGCCTAATTCGATCAGCTCTGTACCTTACTTTTCCTACCACTTTGCAACCACAAAATCAGGCCATGTTCACAGGATAACCCGAATTACCCTTAACCCTAACTTAACCACTAACCCTAACCACTAACCAGTGCTTTTTATATATAAGAGCTTAAGATCTATGCTCTGTGATTAATGGTAGAAGATGGGATAGAACTGCAGGCACTTGAGCAAAAACGCACTATAGAAGCGCTTGGCCGAAATTGGCTTAGTTGTAGGTCGATGATTGGAATTTGTATGTCGATGTTTGGAAACTCCCACTACAGTAGAACCAGACCTAAGCTTGCAACCAGGAAATCCAATCCCTTCCCCCCCCCAGTTGCCCTTATTAGTAATGGACGCCGACCTGATGGGTTCAAGGTTAGTATTAGGATGCGCTTCGTCTCCATGTTTGTTTGTCAGTGCGCTGCGTCAGAATATCGAATTGTCCAGCAACTCGAGCCCGGATGCGATTTGCAAAAGAAACAAGGTAATGGCAGGCAGATTGAATGGACAGGGGCGTTGGGCTGTCTGAATTCCATGACTTATACCAAGCAAAGGTACTCGTACGTGCGTCCAGAGTCAAGTCAAGGGTGCAGGTACGCAGTTGCAGCAAGAAACCATGCGTCAAGACGCAGCAAATGGGCTGCCGTCAAGGTCATCTACATCCAATGTGAACGTTCCAGCAGCAAACATACCTATGCAGCTTCTACTATTGCAGCAGCGCCACCAAAGAAAGTCGCCGATTTGACCGATCTCTCTCCTGCCCCTATCTCCCGAGAATCGCCTTGGGGGACATATCGTACCTTTCCAGTAGGCACACAGAAGACGCCACTACCTTGACACGCGGCATCGTGTAACGACGGCAGCAAAACTCAGAGTCATGTCTTGCTATGTACTTCTTTGAAATATACCGTGTTTTCTTGTTCTGGCGAATGTCGTTTGACTGCTTGACGTCTCATCTACATAGACCCATGCCTCAGCCAGCCATGATGCAATTCTTGCTTCTTCTTGAAATAGCAAAGACGACGACGCGTGACATGCCACAAAAGCGCGGCATACCAACATACCGAGACACCGACGTTACTGCGGAGTTGAGCAAGCACGAATATGTCTTTCAAAATCTGACGCCCGTATGTATAAGAAACCCGGCGCAATGATGATACACGGCGGACTTTTGAGAAGTCTTAGCACTCCGCAGAACAAGGAAGAGACAACACATTCGTGCTCTGAACCCACGGAAAGGACTTGACGCCGTTCGTCGGAATTACACGAATTTTTGCACACTTACCTCCGCAACCTCCCCCCTTCCTCCCCGCCTCCAATCAAGCTGCGACAAAAATAAAGCACACTTGAAACGGGCTTACACACGACCCGATGCGCAAGACAAATGTTTGAAGGCTCCTTTGACTTTTTGTTTTCTTTTGAATTGTTGCTTCGAATGCCGCGCCCTGATTATCATTGCGACATCGGTAGGTACCTCGGCTCTTTTATCACACTTCGTCCAAGCTCGTATACAATTTTGCCGCTTACTTATATTAGACCAACAAACACCACTTTAGACCGAGGCCAAGGTGAACCAAACAGTTCCTTCAACCAACCCCAACCAACAGCACAACACCAAAAGTAGAAACATCCAAGTTAAACCGAGACTAGAACAAGCCCAGAACCACCGTCAGCTTCTAAATGCGTCACTGCAAGCACCACTAAGCATACATACATTGGATAGTACTACTTGTACCCTCCCCCCCCTCCAAAGAAAATTGTTCCCGCAAAAAGGTACCACTTGCCAGTAATAGTAGCATCCAAACGCTTGGTCAAAGAACGTAAGCAGCCCCTGCCCAACCACACACACAACTCACACACACACACACACACAGTGGTCAGCCCTATCAGAATCAAATCTCACACTCTTCTTTCAAATGAAGGGAAAAAAAAAAAACAGTTCTTATTTATAGCTTATTCTAGCACGCTTATATTTGGCACCAAACCTGCTCTCACGAGCTGTGGCTAAAGTTAGAATCATTCCACCTTGCTTCTCTTCTTTCCCACCTACAAACATTCTGCATTCATGGCTTCAAGTCCCTCCAGCAATTTCTCCGTTGCCGACATTCCTCATGAATTCCCGCCATCCTGCCGGATATACAAAGACTTAATAGCGCCATTCAAGCTTGGCCGACTCTAAAACCCCTTTTCCCCTCCCTACTGATCTAAGGCAGTAGGTAGGTACCTAGGGTAATGCTTTCATGTGGGCGGCACCTGTCAGACACTCAACATCCACGTGGAAAGAACATCCCGAGACACATCACAGAACTTCTTCATCCTACATACTAGATAGTATTTGTAATTCTCGACGCATGACTCAAGACATCAATGCAGCTGTCCTTTGTCCTTGAATGAAGGAGCCCGGTTTGTTCTACTTTCATTCGCCGGTCCGTGCCGGTCTCCCGATCTCTTCGCCGCACGCAATCGCCTCCCGTTTCATCGACGTCTCGCCCAGGTCCCTCAATTTCATTAACAAGAGACTAGAGAGAGGCACGAGGGGGGGCAAGTCGATGATGATGCCTTGATGACTACCTGCTTTGCCTCATACAAACAGCCCCCCTTTAGGTTGTGATAGAAGTGCCAGATGTGATCGATTTGCCTACGTAGTAATACCATTAACGTGCAGTCGGTCATCTGATCATCATATGTGATACGTTTTAAGATCAACAAGTAACAATAATGCAAAGTCTATATTCAATAACATTCTCTAAAATGGCACGTCTCATCCTATATCCCGTACATGCGTGTTGTAGAACATAGGTCTACCGCGACATCACCCCATCCTCCCCCAGTACAGCATGTTCTCACTGAAGAAATGAACAGCAATCGAATCACGCATATAGGTGTCTGCCCTATCTTCTGACGATTAGCATCGTCTGACTTAGATTATACAAGACATGTTCGCAGAATGTACAAGCGTAGGGTACCCTGCATACGAGAGAGTCTCCCGTTTTCGACCCCGCCAAACCTCCTCCAAGAATGATATGTCGTTAGAGATGGACAAGAAAAGGAAAGATAAAGAGAGATAGATAGCAACAAAGAAGATGGCCCTCCCAGATGAAAAGAAACTCTTCCAGACTTTTCCTCTATATCCCGACCTTCCTTTTCCTCAGATTACGGCCCGAAAATCCCATGTTGCCCACTCCAACGCCACTGAAAAAAACAAGAACAGAGAGAGTAAAGAAATTGAAAAAGGAAAAGAGGCCCAAGATCAATGCTCCTTCAGAGGGGGAGCAACCCGGTGACTGCGGAGGCGGCGCGAGAGAAAGAAGAAAAACAGGAATGAAAGTCACAGCTCAGTAAAGTAATGATAGACAGAAATCGAAGAGACATGTACAGAAACAAGAATATTGAGACGTATGCAATGGCTTGGTATCAATCAAATGCTCTCTTGGAATCTGGACCCCCTGCTTGGACTCTCGCGTAGACGTGGCAGAGAAGGCGCAGAGGCGTCCGCAGGAGGTGTTTTCGGAGGGTCGGCGAACGGGTTTGGCTCCGCGACCACGGCTCGCGCTGGGCCAGATCGAATCATCGGTACGCCGCTGTCTGGCCGCATGGGGAGCCCCAGCTGCAGCCGAGCTCCTGCTCCTCCCACAGGATCAAAGGCCTGGGAGCCCCGGTAGTAGTCTGACGTGCTGCTCATGAAGCTCGATCGGGGGTCCGAGTACCCGTCGCCGCCCACCTGCAGAACTGACGGCAGCTTCTTGCCTGATACGCGGTAGAAGCTCTTTTCTCCCGTTTCTGCAGAGTTCGCAGAAGTAAAACTGCTTTTCGACGCCAAGCCGGTAAACGCCGCGGTCAGCGCGGAAGCGTTATAATTCTCCGTCATTGCGCCGCCGCTACCGCTACCGCCTCCGCTGGGAGCTCCGTCAGGGGTAACGATGGTCGGAGGAAGTCCACGGTTCTCTGACGTGGGTTGCCCGGCAGCCTGAGCTGCATTGAGTTGGCGTCTTTTGTACCGCAGAGCGAGCAGAATCAAGACGAGAAAGAAAGCGGCTCCAGCGAGGCCTCCAACTACACCTCCAATGACTTGCTTCTGCTGAGGGGACAGCATGTTGTCCGTCCCGTTGGATGGTGCTGAAGGAGTGGCCTCCGTACTGCTTGTTGTCGGTGATTCGCCATCTCCTCCAAACACGCCGCCAAATGCGGCATCTGTAGCTAAGGGCTCATAAGAAGAGACGGTTGAGAGGACGGTTTCCGACAGGGACGTGGCCTCGGATGTTGAGGATCCCGTAGTTGTCAATGAAGTGTGAGAGTGCGTCTTCGTCGAGGAGTGTTTAGTTGACGAGTGAGTGGCGTTTATTGACTCAGCATGGAACAAAGAATTGGTTGAGTTATGATGGGCAGAATGGTGAACTTTATGTCTGGAATTAGCATTATACCTCGTTGTCAGTGGAGATTGATGACGTACTATTTGTTCCGTTATGGCCTATGCCCAGCGAAGGAGCCGCTGGTGTTGGTGGTGGTGAAGAATGAGCGGACGGCGAAAGGGACGCCGGGGAAGTCGGTGTGATTGAAATGGTGGGAATAGCAGCAGCCGGTGTTTGCGAGCTGCTGGGGACTGAGGCGACCGGTGATTGAGAGTTGATGCCAGACGTTGAGGACTGAATCGCCACGGTGGGCTCCAGGCCGGAACCCGGCGCAGCGGGAGCTGGTGTATGATCCGGGTTCGAGGCAGAAATGGTCTTGCCCGTGTCCTTGTCCACAACCACGGTGTTTGGGATAGCGAAGCGAGTCTGTGTCTCGAGCGGTGATCCAGACGAGTCGACGATTTGAACGAGCGAAACGGTCTGGACGACCCGAGTGACGAGCGATGTTGCGCTGGGAGTGGTCACATCGGTGGGCTGTTGGTCTCCGACGGGCACGGCAGCTCGGTCCAGCAGCGCCGGTTCCTGGGCGCTTTCGGGCTTGATGTCGTCGGGTCGGGGGCCAGCGACGGCGTCATGAGGATACTGTTGATGCAGGTGCTGGTCGTGTCCGTGTCCGTGACCAAGTTTGTATGAAGAATGAGCGTGGGCGTGAGCGTGAGAATCGCCGCGGGCCTGAAGGAGTGAAGGCCGGCGGCTCGTCATGGTGGCGATGTCGGCGGGCAGTGCTGATTTGCCCGGTGACGACGATCGTGTCGTATTCCAAAGTGATGTGGGGCTGGCGCCGACTGGTGAAGCAAGTGAAGATCTATTTCGCTATTCCTTCTGCCGGCGGCATCTTGAGATCCAAATAACCACTCGGTGTCGTTGTGAGTCTTGTCGCCGCTAATGCTGTCGGCCTTGGCGATGGTTCGTCGAAGGAGACAACCTCACCTTCACCATCCGCCCTTTTTACTGGGAGAAGGATCCAGAGGAGTTCCGAAAGGCAAAAGACCAGGAATTTGGGTAATGAAATCCAGAAGAATCGCTCAGACGGCGGTATGTTCGTTTCGTTTCGTTTGCTCGTGGCGCTGCGGCCTCTCCCGTTTCTGCCTCTCTTGTTCGTCCCAATCGCACGCGAATCTCCCCTTTGAAAAAGAACGGCTCAACAACGGTTAACGAATGAAAGGTCAAAAGGTCATGGCGAAGGGGCGAAAGGAAAGGAAACAAAGCAACGGTGCGCGCACGTCCGCTGGCCACGAGGAAAGAGAAAAGAAGCGAAAGAGAAGAAGACAAACGGGCGCAAGAGGAGAGGCTTGGGAAGGGGAAACGAGAGCAATCTCTCCGCCAGGGACGAACCGGGCCACTGAGACTTGCGCAAAGGACGAAGTGCAAGTATCAGGTACCTCGACCGGTTTCAGGCACGGAGCTCCGCTACCTGTCTGAGGCAGCCCAAAAAGCGCGATTCGCAAGTAGAGGCGCGGCTTCGTGCCTGCCCCTGCCGGTAAGGAGTACAACGGACGGGCGAGGCCTATGGGATCGCCTGGATGCGAAAGCCGAGCTGTTCGACTGCTCGAACGAGGGTGCCGGGGCTTTTGCTAGCCAGCCCAGCCAGGACGGACGAGGATGTGGACGTGGTTAATTTGGTGCACTTGATGCCATTCGCTCCGTGCCTGAGGCTGACGCTAGCGCAGATGCCGGGACAGGCCTGCCACTAATAGCTGCGAGGTACAGGTCCGGCGGCGATGCTAGCACTGGTACTCTGCGCCTTAGCACTGCGACAGCCCGCAAAAGGTACACCAAATGTCGGCACATGCAATTTCGCTTGGCCGGGGGGTTGCGGCTTGGACAGCCAATCACGGGCGGGCAGCCGTACGATTCGGTGGGCCGAGCGCTGGAATGTCGAGCGCCAAGACACACCAAACGATGCAGGTCCGAGAGATGCGAGCACATGGAAGCACCTTCCACCACTTTGAAGAGAAGAGGCGACGGGAGTCAAAGTGATAAAGAACCAATCGCTTTTGGTCGTCTCCAAGGGACTTTCTTCAACAAGAAACAACGATTGGTTAGCGCATGTGCTAGAACTGGCGAGGTCCAAGGAAGGTATCATGGATATGTGTGTACGAGTACTTAGTAAACGCATTAATGAGTGGCTGATGCCATCTTGGAGATCATGGCAAGGCCCCGTGATATTAGACTAATTTATCTACCTACCTGCAATAGTCCGATGGGGCATCTCTCGTCGCTAATCACAATTCTCCCATCTTGGCGATGGCCTATTACTCGTACTTACAAGAACAGCAGCGAAGGAAAGCCTCGCACTGACAATGAAATCGAAAGTGAGCAGTGAATTACACCGTGTCGTCACTGACCACCGTCCGTATCAGGACTGCACTTGGTGGGAAAATTGAGAAGCCGCAAGTGAACTGATGAAGAGCGGTTCAGCTTTGGCTGTGATTACGAAAACTGCGCATGATACTCGTACAAGTAGTAGGTACACCTTGGAGTAGAAGTCTACAACGCCATGAGTCAATATCGTGCCATGGGGACAAGCTATTGCTTCGGAAGATACATACATAGGTAGAATAGCCTCCTCGGCGATAACCTGACTTCCGCTGCCAGACTTGTTCCCTCTGTTCTCTTTTCACGGTATGTCCGTCTCGCTGTTTGGCATGCTGCTCGTCGTTTGCTCAGGGTGCCTGGTTCATACCGAGCAAGCAAGCACTGGGAAACCCTGCTAGTGCGCTGCGTGGCATCAATGCATCCCTCCCTAGCACTGCAGATTGGAGGCTGCACGACGAAGGACGGCGGAGACTAGGGGCCATCGCCGTGCTCCTGATTAATCTGCAGGCACCACTAGGCTGATGGCCGTGTTTTGTAGACGATGAAGACTCTATTGATCGTGACTCTATCATACATGTACCTTATTAGCCGCAGCCAATACAGTTTCTGATAATGTACAGTACGTCTCAAGCCGTCAGCATACCTACCTTATGTCAGCCGGAGAGGTACCTGTTCACGTAGGCAGATAGGTACTCAACAAACGCATCCATGTGTACTCTGTACGCAGCACAGACAACGTGCCAGCAGCTGTTTGCGTCAAACAATGGCGATCCAAATTCCAAGCAGCAACAAAGACGCCAGCCTGCGCAACGCGTGTGCCATGAATCAGGGTCGTGGCAGAGGCGTGGGCCCCGGAATGACGGAATAACCCGCCCGGTTGCTCCTTTCCACTTGGACTGATTGCGATGGCCTCGATAATATGTAATGTTAGGTAGTAGGTAGCAAGCATATGCATCCTCTACTAACTTATGTACTCATAGTACTTCATTTAGTTGGTATAACGGACTGCAACGTGAAGCCGTCAGCTTTCCATCTTATTACGAAGTGCGTGTCTTTCTGTCTGTATCTTGTACTTGCTCAACACCTCGTCCTCAGTTTCTGGCGTAGATTGTTTGCACTTGGTGCTCTGGCTTGTCTTCTATTGGCCCCAAACTGAGGCTTGCTGAGACGGTTAGACCCCACCCTCACATGGCCCTGGAAAAGTAAAAAATGCAGGCACCATGCAGTGATTGAGTGAGTGGCTGAGGTTCGTTTTTTTCCCGCTGCCAGCGCATGTGCGCTAGTGCGTGACCTCGTACCTGTACCTGAGCGCCCGCTCAGGCACCAGGTACCCAGCACGCTGAAGCCACTCTGATACAGCGCCTGGTGACCTGAAGCCTCCCGCCGTTAGCACCTCGCCGTCTGCAACCCTCTGGTTGATGGTACCTCGATCAGCATACAGACCGGGCTACGGGGTCCTTGTAGCAGTCCGCCAAGTACGGATACTACATACCTTACCTACTATCTAGGTACCTACTACACAACTGGAGCACCCATCCACTGCAGCCAACATGGAACCTAGCGTCTACCCCCGCCGTCCGTCCGCATTTCGGCATCTTCAACCTCAGCCTCGTCTCTCCCCGCTCCGAGCCTCCTCTGACCGCATCCCGGTTCCGTCTGTGCCGTCGCCGGTCTATTGACGCTGTTTCACCGACGATGACGACGGCGAGGATGACGACGACGACGAAACTGGGCCCTCTTTGTACGACTACGGCCACGTTACCAACGCAATAAACGGCTGTTCTTGGCACAGCCTCAGTTTGAACTCACATTCCTTGCTACAGAGTCTTTTGATACCAAACGCTCAAGGACCGATCACGATCATCCACTACAGATTTAGCTCTTCTACACTTACTTACCTTGTATCCGGCGCCATGGCATCACCACAGCCACTACCAGAGCGAGCTGTTTCCCAGCTGCCTCCGCCACCTCCCCTGCCGCCCAGGAACAGCTCCCAATTGCCTCCGCCACCTCCCTACTCGGTTGTGGACGAGTCTCGAATCTTCCCGGCTTCTCAGAATCAGGGGATTCCCAAAAATGCGCAAATCCTACGCTCCAAGAATTCCCGTGCCTCGTCATCGCAGTCTCTGGCGCCCTCAGAGTCCAGCTCAGACACCAGACGGACTCTCTTGTTGGTTTATATCCATGGATTCTACGGCAATGACCAGTCCTTCCATTCATTCCCTGCTCACGTGCACAACTACTTGCGTGAAGCCCTGTCAGAAACGCATGTTGTTCACTCCAAACTGTATCCCAGGTACAAGACATACAAGGCTATTGAGATTGCGCGGGATAATTTCAGCGCTTGGTTGGAGCCTCACGAGTCGCCCAATACCGATGTCATTCTCATCGGCCACTCCATGGGGGGCCTCCTGGCTGCCGAGATGGTTCTCATGGTAAGCTGTTTATATGTCTGCGGCTGATGAAGCTGCAAAGGCTATGAGCAACTCATCATTCTAATGCGCACCGCTATAGCCAAATCGAACTACCCCTGGCCGGCACCCATTCAAGCATCGTATTCTAGGAACTTTGTCCTTAGACTCCCCCTTTCTAGGTCTTCATCCAGGCATTGTATCCTCAGGAATTGCCAGTCTCTTTCAGGCAGCACCAGCGTCTCCCAGCGAAGGCACCACCCCATCGTCTGCCCCAGATGCCCAATCCGCTGAGGTGCAAACCGTCTCTTCTGCTACATCCATCGACAGCCCACTCAGAGGGCCAAGAGATCCCAACTTTGATCCCCCCTTCTTCAATGATGCGCCGTTCCGAGAGCAGCCGTTTCTTACCCGCATGCTCAACTTTAGCACCAAGCATTGGTCTGAAGGCATATTCGCCGCCTTGGGTCATCATGTTGCCTCTCACCTAGAATTCGGCGGATGTCTTGCCGACTACCGTGGGCTAATGTCCCGATATAACCAAATCCGTGCCCTCGAAGATATTGACGATCTCCAAGCTTTGAGCGGCGGTGTAGCCGACAGCTCGCATCCTCGAGTTCGCTTCCTAAATTACTACACGCTGGCGCCTGGACGCCCAAAGCCAGTCTCAGCTAAAGGCAGTCGTGATATAAGCCAGGTAGATCTCTCAGCGGATACCGTACCAGAGAGCAAGGTTGCTATTGGGATAGACAAGGAGCTTGTCGATATTGTTCTTACAACCGCAGACGACAGTCAAATTGACGACAATCCGAGAGACTCCATCTCGACCAATCCACCAAAGGCCAGCACTCCGGCTCGAGGGGACCACATGGACGATTCAGCATCGGCTTCGGAGCTAATAGGGGAGATCAGTATCAAGGATGTTGATTCGGATTCCGAGATGGAGAAACCCAGTCCATCTCCCGATCTTACCCGGTTCTCTATGCAAGAAATTGAGCCAATCCCTATCGATGAGGATGAACAAGATGTGGAACAGAACTTGGATACAACGATAACGACCAACTCAGAACAATCATATCCTCCCATTGAGTATGCAGGGGATAGAACGAAGACTCTGTCCGAACAAACACCCATCTCCCCAGATCCAGACCTCCCTCCAATTCCTGATCTCCCCCCACCCCCTGAACAGCCCGATCTCTCACAGTACACAGACAAGGATTCACGCAAGCAAGCAGAGAAAGAATTCAGCCGCCTCCAGAAAGCCTACGAGAACGCCGTAAAGGACCGCACCAAAGCCCTCCGCGAACGCGAGAAACTCCTCGAGAAGCGCCAAAAGAAGGCCCAGAAAGACGCAGACAAGCTAGAAAAGGACGCCAAGAAGCAGAAGCAGAAATCCGAACAAGAACAAAGGCGGCTGGAGAAAGAAGCCGAAAAGGCCATGAAAGCAGAAAAGAAACGACAAGAAAAAGACGACGCCGCCCAAGCGAAACACCTCAGGAGCGCTTCCAAGAGCGTCGCCGCCAGCGCTACTACTACTGCTACTGCTGCTGCTGCTGCTGCTACCCCGGAGAAGATGCCCGAGACGGAGCCCGAAACCACGCCGCCGGGGAGCAAGAAGCCCAAGAAGCTGCGTAAGTTCTGCAACACGCCCGCCAAGAGGGATGACGGCGTCGTCGCGGATCCGACGTGGGTGAGCGTGTACATGGACGGCATGGACGAAGTGACTGCGCACTGCGCGCTGTTCCTGCCCGGGCCGCACTATGATGGGCTGGTGGGCGATGTGGCGAGTCGGATCGTGGGATGGGTGCAGAATGATTTGTCTGTGAGGGCTATGTTGGAGATGGATTGAATAGGGGGTTCTGGTCTCTTCGTTGCTGGATAATGAATGGTGGTCTGGACGTGTCGTTGGGACTATGGAGCATAAGATGGCTTTTTGGTGATATATTACGCCTTGGCTTTTTCTGGAAGATGAGGGAACAGAATCTGGTTTTCTGAGCATCTATCTTCTCTCAAGGGAGAGTCCATTTTCTGTGTATAGACGTCGCCTTGACCTCAATATATCCAAGATCATGTCCTCAGTCATACAGGTATATCCACTTTAGTACATCTCAAGTCATATTTAGACACCAATCCCCATCGAACTTCCTAATTCCACAATCACTTGATCTCAATAAATATCCAACTCCCGCATGCGTACCCTCAAATCCTTCTTCTCCCCACTCCTCGCATCAACCCCCTTCATAATTGACGCATCCGCCTCGTCCGCCGCAGGCACCAACCCGTCATACGCTATGCTCAGCGCCCCGAGCCGAATCAGCTGTCCCTCCGGATCCCAGCCTCTGCGCCCGCATATCAGTGCCGTGGCCGTGGCCGTGGACGGGGTCGTAATGGTGGCGCTTCCCGCCCCCGTGGGGCGATGGGCCACGGCGTTGGATTTCCAGTGCCGTCCCGAGATGAGGACGCCGACGAGATGGTACTCGGGCTCGGCCGGCGCTTCGTCGGCAGAGGCTGGGAGGACGGTGACGGAGGAGCGGCGGATCCAGGCGTCTATCGATTCGGAGGCGGATCTGCCCAGGATCGAGGCTGCCGGCTCGGCCAGGGCGAGGCTCGGATGGGCTCCCAGGACGCCGCTGGTGCTCTTCACGGCGAGATCAAAGCAGTAGGTCTTGATGCGCAGCATCTCAATCTTGTCGGCCTTTCGGGCGATGGCGTCGCCGTCAATCTCCCATGAAAGGACCATGCCGTCGCTGAAGCCGACGGAAATCTCCATCCCAGGGGCGGCCGACACGCCGTCAAGGAGGGGAGAGTTATCATCGACGAGGTTGAAGTTGAGGGTGTAGTTGGGGGTATTGTAGCTGTATGTGGTCTGGTTGGGTCGCCATGCGAGCCAGGTCCATGAAGGAAAGGGACAAGGGGAGTCAATGAGGGAGTAAGGGTCGACGACGGGGTTGTGCAGGAGGTCATCGTAGGATGAAGTGGTGGAGGAGGAAATGGAAGAGGAGGGGAGTGTGCGGACGGGCATCCAGCCAAGGGCGACGGCCAGGCGGTCCGTTTGGCTGACGACCTTGTGTTTGGAGAAATCGTCGGGGTGAAAGAGGGGCAAGCCGAGCAAGTGCTCTATAGGTTGCCTCTCTCGCCGTGAGTATTCGTGAAGCAAGCCCCTGAAGGCGTCTAGGTGATCGTCGGTGTGGGTGAGACTTTTGGCCAGGTAGGCTTTAATGTGGTTCTTGAATCGTATGGGTTGGAGAGCGGCGTCGGTGGAAGGTGGAAACACACGGCCAAAGTTCAGGCCGGATGCGTACTTGAGGGGCAGGGCAAGGCTCTCGTGACAGTGTATAGCCTGGCACTGGAAGTAGACCTGCGAGGGCGTGAAGACGAGGCGCCGTCGCGACAAGAGACCCTCCTGGTATGTCCATGCCCGAGACGCCCACTTCGACGAAGCAACCTCGAGGTCAGGGCGAAGCAGAGACGTGGTGAAGAGTTCTGTCTCTGTTTGAATCGACAGCTGCTCCTCGCGGGGTACGCTGATCCCGGCAATGCCGTCATCAAGGCCCTCGCCCGCGGCCACGACGAGCGTCAGTGCCGAATGGCTGAATATCTGGCCAATGAGGCTAAGCTGTTGCTGGCGTTCTGATGCTCTTTCGGCGTCTCCTTTTGCGGGCATGCAGTACCGGTCTACCCAGAGGTAGCGGTACCCAAGGCCCTTGGTGGTGGAAATGGCGTCCGCGAACAGTTTCGGGAGAGGGTCCGGCAGAAGATGGTCGTCGTCGAGCTCTGTATCCGAAGCGCCAGAAGCGCCCGAGACATAGCTGAGCGTGACATAGTCGACGTTCTGGTGTCGGGTGCCCTTGTCGTGGCTGTTGCGGGTGCCGCTGTGGCTTTTGTCGTCCGGCAGCTCTTCAGGGGGCGCCGCTGCTGATAGCTGCTCTGCGAGAATAACTCGATTCTCCTCGCAGTCTATCAGCCTCAGCCCCTTGACCAAGGGTCGGTGTTTGGCGGAACAGGCCTCTGCGGCGTGATTTTCGTCGCAAAAGTCGATCCAACTTTTGACCAACGGCAGACGGAGCAGCGGCGAAATTTCCCGGCCCCGAATTTCCCTTGGTTCATCTTGTCGTCTGTTGCTTCTGTTGACTTTGGCATGGCCATTCTGTTTCGTCTCGGCCCGATCGTCAGCATCTCCTCCTATCATAGCCCTCGATTTTATTTCCGAGAGTACCTCCTCTTTCAGATCAACGTCAGCCTCGACTCCCGAGTCGGTCCCTGTGTCCAGGCCTCCTTGCGTGATGCTCGCCTCGATTCCTGACTCTGCATCCAGCTCTGTTTCTGCCTCTTGCTCCGTCTCTGTCTTTGCCTGTGTACCTGCGTCGGCATCATCCGCCTCCACACTCTCCTCCTCCAGCGGTGGCGCAGCCTTGACAATGTACCCCCATGGAAGAGAGCGATTCCTCGTCGTGACTTCAAATAGCACCGACCTCCCCAGCGGATGTTTCTCCCCACTGCCAAGCCGCTCAAAGGCCAGTCGAATGCGCAGATACGGCGCGAACTTGGTCTTCAAGGCTCTGTCGTCCCGGCCGTCTGCGCCGTTGGTCTCGTCTCCCTCCGGCACCGTGGTGACCATGGAGCGGAAGAAGACGCACCATGGGCACAGATTCCGCCTGCTCCTCCTCCGCCGCCTTCTCTGCATCTCCTCGTCATCAACCTCTGCCGCTTCCGACGCCGTCTCGAGGCTGCCATTGGCCGGCTCCTCGGTTTCGTCCTCCGCGTCCTCCTCGGGCAGCTTCAGCCTCAAGCAGTGCGCCAGCGATACCCACGGCCTGGGATCCCCCGGCTGCCAGTCCAGCAACCTCGCAAAGTCGATATCCTGGCAGACGTCACACAGCTGCCCCGCGTCGTCGCTGCCGTCGGCCAGGATCCTCCCCGCGCCGTACTTGGGAACCTCCTTGGTGAAGAGGCGGCTGTGATGCTCGCCATTCAAGGCCAGTCCATCGGAGCCGCTCCGCCACCGCCTCGACGTCAGCTGGTGGAAGTCGAGCGACAGATCCTGGCCTCCCCGGTCCCAGCGGCCATGATCGTCGCCTCCGCCAGATCGCCCGAGGCGCCGCGACAAGATCTTGGAGAACTTCTTCATCCCCGGCTCTCAGGTTGTCGGTTCCAGGGCCAATAATGAGAAAAGTATAAGCAGGAGGCCGACTCTGGTGGGCTTCGCGCTCTCACTCGCTGGCGCGCATCGTTTCCGTAGATAAGGTAGTGGCTGCCCTGGTTTCTGATATTGCGCGTGCCTCTCCGACAAGGCGCTTGTGGTTATGATAACAGCGAAGAGCGAAGTGACGAAAGAAAAAGAGCGATTGATGTGATGGCACAAAAAAAAAGGCGTGGCCTGATGGCTTGAAGCAGAAACGCGCCGACGGAATCTGGTCTCGGTTGAGTGGAAAGCGACGGCTGCTTCTAGAGTGACTAATAGAAGGTGATGCAAGAAAGGCAAGACAAGGTAAGGTATGACCCCAGAAGAAACGGGTTGAAGACAGAGATCCAGATCGCACGATGGCAGGATGCACAAGGAAAGACGAAGGCAGCAAATAAACACACAGGACAAGGGGCCCCAGACCAGACGAAGCCCCCCCAGACTGTGACGGGTATCAGGTATAAGGCAAAGGAGAAACGATGGTGAGGAGGAAGGGAGAAAAAAAGTGGTGAGAGGGACGAGAGGCCAAGGAGATAAGCCAGAAAGCTTAGCACCAGCAGTACCTACAAGTATGTACAACCTCTTTGTACCTGGCAATACTGTAATAAGACTCAACAAGTCGCACCAAGAAAATACAAGGCCGCGGATCGGACAGAACTGGAGCTTCCAGGTTCAGACTTTGGATTGAGCATCGACAGGGGACCAGACAGGACAGGACAGGGGTTAACAGCATCTCCACAGCCTGAGCAGACTGTTGATAGGGTGGAACTTGATGGCAAAATATAGACGACAAGACTTGTCGAGAACCAAGTACCACTAGCATCGCCAGACTATTGCAAAAGCAGCGCTCGACCCAAGCTCATCTCCAATCAATGCACACGTCTAATATGAAATGATGGCGGCGGACTCGAGAAACAGCCCGTGAACAAGAACCGCCGGGCCAAAGAAGGGGGGGCATCTCATTTCATGCTCTTTGGGTTCTTTGCGCGCCAGTCAACCTCGTCGGGCCCTTTCTTTCGCCCTTTTTTTTTTCTCTCCCCTCTTTCCTTTTTCTTCTACCTGACGACCAAGCATTTGAAATCATGGAGATTAAAACCAGGCGAATCCAACACATTAAACCAGGCGCAACAACTCCCACTCGTCCGGACATGACAGGAAACTCCCCCCGTTTTGTGGCGCCAGACTTACGATATTGGACCCCTTCGCTAGCCCACCACATAGACTAGATAGTAGCTGGGAAATAATTCCAAGACTGTTATTTGCGAAGCAGAAAAGGGTCCCTCCGTACGAACTGAAGCTCTGATCAATTTTCATCCCGTTGCGAGATCAGCGATTTGATTAACCTCGGCTGTCGCGGACTTCAATTGGACGGGCAGTCGAGTCAAGATCGAGTCCAATCTGATAAACCTTCCAGGGTTCTTTCTGCCCAAGCGCCCCGGGTCTCAAATTACACCACGGGCACTTGACCACCTGGACATCCACGCATTGGATGCCCAGATACTACATGTATGGATGGTACAGCGCTCTCCCAGCGCCGTCCAGCGGCAGCACCAGCACGGACAGGCGCTAATTCCAGGTGCCGCCGCCAATTATCCAGGGACCACAGCGCCCTGGATTTAGCGTCCACTGGCTCCATTGATTGATCCATGGATTTGATGAGCCCGAGCAACTGGACCCAGCCGCTTTTGATGGCACCACAGACGACATCAAATTGGAGCCATTGATGGACATCACACCAATCGATTCCAACTCCCGTCCTTGCCATTAACGCCTCCGATGTCGAACAGGCTGCGCACTCTTCACCCCTTATTCGAGACTCCTGTATAATATTCGATTCCTCTCTGCCTTGATGTAGATCTTTGGCTGTTGGCTTACAGCAGGTGGCTTTCATGATATGCGCTCTTCCTCACAGCAAACAAAGTGCCAACACTCGTCATAGTGCACCCAAGCAATATAAGGCAAGTTGATGTAAGTAGGTTCTGCTCGGAGAGCTCCCCAATCATGTAATCCCAAACTGAAACCCCGTCTTAAACCGTCGTTATAAGTCATCGTCGATCTACTCCAATTGTTCAACGCTCTTCGCTTTTGAGCGCATGAAAGAAGCTAAATGTGGTCAATCATCCCCAAGATCCCTTGAGCTATCCTGTGACGAAATTGTTCGAATCGCTCTTCCCGAAGCACGCATTCATGCAGCCAGTATTGCTTCTCTTTTCCTCCCGCCTCACCCTTTTTTTCATTTCGTACCGTGCCCAAGGTTGCTCACTCTCTAAGACACATAAGCAAGAGTATTATCATGTCTAAGCGTTCCAATAACGCCAAGGTTGGTCTCGCCGCCAGCAACGCTGGGTCCTGTTGCGTAAATCTATCATCAAAGAAATTAGCGAAAGGAGGTACATCTTGGGACAGTCCACGTCAAGCTCACCTCTCCAATGACCACGTCATCAGTCGTCTTGTAAGGGCCCTTGTCCTTCAAACGAATCTCAATGCTAGTCGCCGGCGCGCCAAAGTGGCCCTTGTCGCCCTCCTCGACTCTGTAGTCGTAGTAAGCCGTCTGCGAAACAGCACCCACCACCCGAGCGCTGGTCAGAGCATATACGACGCGCGCACCAGTGAAGATGCGCAGATCCGAAAGAACTTTAGAGGAAAGGTGAGGCGTATCCGCGCCAACACGCTCCGCGGTGTACACCAGCCGCAGCTTGCTTGGATCGGTGCCGAGGGATGGCTTGGCTCCGGCGGCAAATGGAGACAGCAGGTTGCCTGTTGGAAGGACGCCGTGTTGGGTGAGACTGCGGGTGGCAATGGCATGGGAGGCTTTGGCAAGGGGGCTGTTCAGTTTGGCGGTGGACTCTTCGTGGATCTTCAGCAGGCTCGAGGGGCTGGCAACAATCACCGTTGGAGCGATGCCCTGTGTCGCCAGCACCAAATCCGGCGATCGACCAGCAACCGAGTTGAACGCGATCGAAGAGTTTTGGTACAGGGCAGCCAAGGTCAAGGAAAGGGTGTGGATGCCGGCCAAAGACTCGACGGGAAGAAACAGGTCAGCAGGAGTCAGCCTCTCCTTGATGGGGATGGCGTTGATTTGAGAAGCGATGCCGGCAACCAGGTTGGCCTGCGTGAAGCGCACCATTTCCTCCAGCTGGCCGGGCTTCGTCTGCCAGAAGGTAACAACGTCCATGGGAACCTTTTCCAGATCCAGAGGGGGCAGCTCAGTGCCAGCGTCGGCCGGGGCGTCCCGGATAATCTCCTGCCATGTGGCGACGTTGACGCTGCCCCCCATGCCTTCGGGGACCTCGTTCCAGTCGAGATGCGAGCTGCCCTCGTCCACAACCCAGATGAGCTGTCTCAGCGACGGATATGCCTTGGCGACGTCATCGAGCGGGAATGAACCGGGGGTCGTCACGACGGTGTCGACGGCGGATCGTCGCATCATGGAGATGAGCTCCTCGTTGGAGACATTGAACGGGATCAAGACGGTTGTCAGGTTCGGGTAGAAGCTGCAGGCCAGCAGGGCGACCAGGAGTTCGACCGAGTTGGGCAGATAGATGGCGACTCTGATGCCGCCCTGCTCCGCAATGTAGTGTCCAATGAGGTTGATCTGTCTCGTAATGTCCTCTGCAGCAGCACAGCACAGCACAGCCCAGTCAGTCAGTCAGTCATTTCGGTCAACCTCGCACCAGCTCTCACATATGAGAAAACAGAAGCCCCCCCTTACCTAGACGATGCTCAATGACATTCTCCGACCCGAGAACCGTCAACAGCTTGCCCTTCTTGCCCTCGGCGTTCCCCGCGACCGCCTTCCGCCAAATGTCCCTCAGATCGCCATTGCGTCCCCTGGACCACTTGGAGACGCCGGGATCCTTGATGTCGAGCCCGCTGTTGAGCGGCATGCTGTGCGGAGCGGCCAGGCAGCGGTAGGCGGCGCTCTCGCCCTCGTTGCGCACCGTCGAGGCGCCGGCCTGCCTGGCCAGCAGCAGCGGGTGCACGTCCGGCTCGCGCGACGTCGTGATGCGGTACGTGACCAGCAGCACCAGCAGCGTCACCAGCGCCGTCGAGTAGCCGTTCCACTGGCCCACGAAGCCCGTGAGCCCGGCGTCGAGGCTCTCGAGGAGACCCATCTCGCTGGCACTGGATCCGCGGGCAAGCTTCGAGAAGTCGTCGTGGTGCTTCTTTTTGCGCTGTCTTCTATGACGGGCGACGCATGTGACGTGGGAGGGGCAGAGGGAGAGGAAAAGGAAGAATTGGCGGGGAAGTTGAAAAGGAAGAAGAAGGCAAGAGAGAAGAGTGCAAAGGTGAGATTGGATGGCTGTCGAAAAAGAAGCAACTTGGCAGCAAATGTACTTTCGTACCCAGCCAACCAAATCCCGAGCCTTGAGGTGCGTACAGCTAAGAAGGATGTCGTTCTCGTTACAGCGCTGAGGTTCTCCGGCCGCACCGGCGGGGGCAGTGGGGGGGAGAAGCACAGGTCAAGCATCAAGCATCCAACATTGGGCATCCATCTTCCAGATAAATGCTTACTCTATTTGCCTCGGAAACAAGACCCTTCAAATCTGGTAAAAGGACATTTTAAAGATATAAATTTCACGTCTTTTACCTTGAGCACCTTTCAGCTCACCAAACAAAGTAAGGTAGGTAGGCTTACTTACGCCTGCGCAACATGACAGCTGCAGCATACACAAATACCGTCATCTGATCTTCTACTCTACAAGCCACACCTACCACCTACTAGTAGTATACGTCCTCGTATACTCACGATTGCAGCATCGCATAGGAGTGACAACAATGTCAATACACTACCAAGGTATGTAAGCTAATATTAATCTACTCTCATTTTCTCGCTTTTGATTCGCAACGGAGGAAAAATCCACATGATACGGAGCGAAATCGAAGCGCGGACGTCCAGGGTAGTAATATCTCACCCCAATATCACAGACAAGCATCACCACGTAACGACCATGGAAGCTGGAACCAGTGTTGGCAAACCCTTGATGTGCTCGTTGGTCTCCTTCTGCTGTCAGTCAGGCCACCCGACCTACTATGTACCACGATCAAGAGCGGCCACAGCATTTTGAGAGCCTAGAAATGTGGAAAGAGTTCACAGATGGCGCGTATTCAACATCACACGGTTGCACAGAACGTATCGCAAGTGGCGCGTATTCAACGTCACACGGTTACACAGAACGTATCGCAATATACCTGTATTTTTTTTTTACATCGGACTCCTCAGTCCACTCTGGTTGTCTGTCTATCACGGGGACGAAACTCCCTAGACCCTGTTCCCAAGGCTGCGTACTCGGCACCCTTTCCTTCGGCCGAGTCGAAGCGTTCCATGTGCGTAAAGACGGTCGAAGAGCCGAGAGCCTTGACCCATGCCCTCCCAACCAAAATCCATAACTGATGTCGAGAGGCCCAGTTTCTTTGCTCTCGAATGAAAAAGAGAAACCGACCTGCGGGCCGTCTGTGTTCCCAGTCTATGCTCATAGCTCTCTTTCCGTCCCAATCTGTGGGAGACCGTCGAGCAAATTCCGACCAGAGAACCGAAGAAATCCACTTTTGTCTATGTAATGCCACGGCGATAGCATGACCCTCTATCATGAAAAGCGAGAAAATGCCCCTGCGGGGGGAGGAAACCCTCGTAGACAGCAGAAACATGAAAAAACCGTGATGTCATGTCCAGATCTAGCAACTGTAGATCCCTCAACACCACGTTCTGCCAGCATCGTCAAGTTCCTCTAATCTCGGTCTAAGGGTATCAAGTGAGGGAGGATGCTGAAATCAAAGAAATGCAATCTATCACATGCGTCGTGAAATGCCCCTGACCGTTACCCGCTGCCCCTGTGCAGCGAATAAATAATAAGGCATTCTTTCGCCTTCGCAGGTCATGATGCCGCCGTGTCGTGAAAAACAAATGACATGATGCGTAAGCGAGAAATAACCGATGAAATCAATAAAAGCAAAGTCGAGTCGCAGACAATAGGATAGAAAGACAGAAACAAAAAGACTTGGCGGCTTAAGCTGGAGCCGTCATGGTGGACATGACAAGATGTGCACCAGGAGAGAGGCAGCAATGTTTACCACCACGAAGACTGGGCGCCAGCACCGCCGGGATTGCCGTAGCCACCGCCGTTGCCATAACCGCCGCCATAGCCGCCGCCGCCATAGTTGGAGCCTCCCTGAGACTGTCCACCATAGTTGCTGAAGCCGCCTTGCTGGGGGTTGCTGAAGCCGCCGCCGCCGCCGCCGCTGCCACCAAAGCCGCCGCCGCCGAACTTGCGGAAATCACGGTTGGCATTGCCACGGCCACCTCCAGGGCGAGAGCGGCCGCCGCGACCACCACCGCCGAAAGAGGACTCACGGGCGATGGCCTCAAGGAAGGGAGGGATCTCCTGGTTGGCCTCCTTGAGAAGGTCGATGAGCTCGCGGACGATGCCACGGTTGCCACGGTTGAAGAAAGCGGTAGCGATACCAGTGTTTCCGGCACGGCCGGTACGACCAATACGGTGGACGTAGTCGTCGACATCGGTGGGAAGATCATAGTTGATGACGTGGGTGACGTTGGGGATATCGAGACCACGAGCCGCGACAGCGGTGGCAACCAGGATGGGGCAGCGTCCGTTACGGAAGAACTCGAGAGCGCGCTCACGCTCACGCTGGGTCCTGTCTCCGTGGATGGAGGTGGCAGGGAAGCTCTGGTTGATGAGGAAGTCGGACAGAGAGTCGGCCATGCGCTTGGTCTCGACGAAGATGAGCGTCAGTCCACCAGCGTGGGTGTGGAGGATGTCGAGAAGGACGGAGCGCTTGTCAATGTCCTCGACAAACTCGACCTTCTGGGTGATGTTCTCAGAGGTGGAACCAACACGGCCGACGGACAGGAAGACGTAGTCCTTGAGGAAATCCCTGGCAAGCATCTGGATATCGCGGGGGAAGGTGGCCGAGAACATGAGCGTCTGTCGGTCAGCGACGGAAGGCATGTCCTCACCCTCGACGATGCGGCGGATCTGGGGCTCGAAACCCATGTCCAGCATGCGATCGGCCTCATCGAGCACGAGATACTTAATGTTGCACAGGGAGATGCGGCCTCGCTCTATGAGATCCACAAGTCGGCCAGGAGTGGCAACGAGAAGGTCGCATCCGCGCTCGATCTGGCGGAGCTGGGAGCCAATGTCGGCACCACCGTAGACGACGCAAGGGCGGACCCAAGATCGGTACGAGAACTTGCGAGCCTCATCGTAGATCTGAGAAACAAGCTCTCGAGTGGGGGCAAGGATCAAGGATGTGGGGTAAGCCTTGCGCTGACGGCCAAACTGTCCAGCAGCGTTGGCGGGGACAGCAGAAGGACCGTGGATGAAAGCCTGGGACAGGATGGGGAAAAGGAAACCACCAGTCTTGCCAGAACCAGTCTGGGCACACGCCATCAGGTCACGACCACCCATGACGATGGGGATGGAGTACTTCTGGACAGGAGTGGGCACCTTGTAGCGGGCCATCTCGATGTTGCGGCACAGGTGCTCGTCCAGAGGGGGGGTGGTGAACTGGTGGACGGGCTCGGGGACGTCGCGGCCAGAGGCTTCGACGGGGATGTCATCGTACTTCTCAAAGTTGATGCCGGTGTGCTGCTTGGAAGGATCGTCGGCAGTGCCAAAGAGCTCGCGCTCAACACGAGGGTTAGGCGGGCCAGGGATGTGCTTTCCGTCTCGCCACTGTCCGTCACCAGAGCCACGGGCAGCGTGGTTACCGCCGCCGTGACCTTCGTAGCCACCACCACCACCGCCGCCAGAGTAGCCTCCACGACCACCCCAACCACCACCGCCTCGGCGGTTGTTCTGGTAGCCGCCGCCGGGAGCGTCACCGTTCCAGTTACCGCCCTGTCGACCGCCGGCGAATTGCTGACCCTGACTGTAAATACTGTTAGTAATGATGTTCGACCACGACGCGAGGAGATGTATTGTGCACTTACCCAGCCCAGTTGCTGTTGTTCAGACCAGCGGGGGGACCGTCAGTGACGGGAACGTTGCCACCTCCACGGCTTCGCATGTGAGGCGGGATGTAGGATCGGGCCTGAGGGGACGACTGAGGGCCGTCGCCGTTGAGGTTGAGGCCGCCCATGTTGAGTTGGTCTGCCATGTTGGAAGTTGGGTTCCGGATTGCAGGAAGTTGACTGGTTGGCGAAATGTTGTTTTGAGTCTTTGTTCGCAGGGAGCGAAATAATTATCGAACTGTGTCGATCAAGAATCACCCTCGTCGAATAATGAGAGTGAAATAACGAAGCCTGTCCGCAAGAATAGACAGCAAACAGGAAGAGAAGGAAACGGGAAGAACGAGGTGTTCCCTTGTTGTGTTTTCTTTTTCAGTCTGAATTAACAAAGAGCACGCGTAGAAACCCGTGCTTGCACTTTCCGTCGAAGAACACGCAGAATCTTCAAAGGAAAGACCAAGGAAAGACGAAAATGCCTTGATGAGATATGGGGGATGAAAGGAAAAAGAGGGAGATGGAGATGAGAGGTTTGTGTTTTGGAGGGTTTGCGTTGTGGGAAAGAAGAGAAGAAAAGGGACGGCGAGTGTTGAGGCGAGAGAGAAGGCGAGAAAAAAAATTAGTCTGATGGCGGACCAGAAAGAGGCTAGTGCCCGAGGGGGGGGCAGAGTTTTCCTGAGCGCAAGCCACCACCTGGGTACCGTGCAGGTAGCGCATCACGTGATGGTACAGTAAAACGAGCCCTGGCTGCTGGGAAACCCCGCGGGGCAGTACTGGGGCGCTACATCGAGCCCTCCGTCGCAAGGTCGTGGCGTTGTGGCTTGGGGCGTTAATACTGGGCAGACCGATTCTTTCTCCCATCTGGCAGTTGACACTTCAGAGCCGCCCGGAGCAAGATGACATGCTCTGGCACATTCGCGGGGCTTCTATCCGAATTGCCACTGTAGGTACGAGTGACTGTGGCTTCTTTTTCTTCTTTTTTGATTCTTTGGTATCTCGGCCTCAGCGAGGAGGATGCAACCCTTAGACGGTCCTCGGCCCCCGATGCTTGGTAAGTCTGCGAGGTAGTATCTGGTGTTGCCACGTCCAGACCGCACCCCTACTGTATGAGTTGCCGGGGGATATTGGGGCACGCACTACTAGTACCTACAACCACCTTGCCGAAAGCGAAGGGTCCCTTATCATGCTGCCTGACAGCTGGCAGCACATACACGTACGCAGTAGTGAGTACCTGGGTAGGTGCGCGTCTTGGACCCCTTGCGGGCTGGTGCGTCCTAGTACCTGGAATGCCAATGAGGTTCTTCCTGTTCCAGCCCCAAGGATACCCTTTGAGCAGCCATTTTCAAGTGCAATTACGATACAAAAGCACAGGAAGCGCAACTTGAATAGGTAGTCACTTCGGAACAGTTACTAGTAGGTAACACAACAGCCTTGATGCCAGCTTCGGTACTACATACCTACCTACACCGACAAAGATGCATACAGACGCTCCCTCGCTGGTGCCGTGTGACTCCAGTCAATACCGCCGCCTCATCCTCCTGCAGAAGCGGGACAGTGCATGTACACATCACCTCTCCGTTGAAGCTACCTGTAAGCAGAATCTAAGGTACCAGAACTACTCGCACCTTGCCTGCAATACTCTTCCCACATACGGCTGGTATTAGAGGTACTTACAGCCCGGATTATCTTGTCATAATACATCATACCTACTAGTTGCCCGCTGATTGAATCAACGCCCGAGGCTTGCTTCGGTCGCTTAAGGTACCTACCTTAAGGTATGGTCCCATATGGTTACCCAAGGTACCATGTACCTAGTGTACGATGTGGAATACCTACCTTAGGTAGGTACCTGGGGACGATTATCCTCACTTGCAGAGAAAAGAAGGTTTCCGGGTGTTTACGGCTGGCTTACTTCAAGTCAATGAATGGAGAGCTCTATCTGCTACATACGCGAAACGCTGTGATGTCAGTCGTGATCTCGTTTGCAATTTTGCCTTCCAGAGGCTTCAAAGATGCCGATACTATCCATGCTGACTTCTACGTCAGTAACCCGTAACGTGGAGGAGGGTTCCAGGTTGGACCGGGGGTTCTTGGTCCGTGGTCCTTGCCAGGCACCCGAGAGTCGCCCACGAGATCCTGATTTCTAAGTAGACCCAATGTCGCCACCTGCCTACCTATTACCTACCTTATACAGTATGTACATAGTCTGTGACCGATATCCAACAAGAGCTGCCACTGTATGTATAGGTAGGTATACGTCAGACCTTTTAACAGATGGGCGGTATTTCCTATTCATACCACTCTTTCCCGAGTCTGGTGTCATGAGTATGACAAAAGCCTGGCTGACGTTGCGTCCTTTTCGCCAGGCTTGGAAGCTACCTACCTAGGTACAGGTAGGTATGCTGTGCTTGTTCCAGGGCGACTTTCCGCAAGGTAGCCAACTCTCTTACAGACAGATGTCTGACGCATAAAGAAAGGGTAAAACCCAATCGAGAAGCAATTTTAAAGGTTGATACTGCAATAATAGATGATTGTAACCGAGCTCAAGCTACCTTATCTCTGTTGAAACAACGGTTCTGCCATCGGAATGTCTCAAAGCCGCAGTGGTGAAACTGAGGGATGGACGGCTACAAGCCTCCGCAACTAAACCATGTCTGCTCTTGACTTCTCGAACTCACCTCAGACTATGAAACATTGTCTCGTTCTCCTGTCATAAGGCAGATACTTTCGGGGATCGTGCTGGTCGAATCGGGACTCTATATAGAGTGGTCCTCCAAAGCTACCGCTTTTGGGGCGGGATATGACGGAGCCTTTGCTACGCGGATGAGTCTACCTAGTGAAGAAATCACGTCTTCAAATAGAAGATTCAAATTAGCCTGTTCATGCAGCACCTCCTCAACCGGAAATTCCTCAACATCGTGACGTTGCTGATATCTTGACTTTCCCCTGAAGCCTCGACTCCCCTTTCAACAGCCTTGCCCATATCGCCATACGCTGAGCACCAGATAACTGCATGTCAAGATTCTTTCAACCCTGAACCGGAAGAAGCGGCAGTATATTGATTACCAAGCTCAAGCCAGTTTCTAATGATATACAGCATGCCCTCTCCAGCACGACATCTCGCGCTCACGCACTCTTCACGATCCGGTCGTCGTCAAATTCTATGTCGACAATTCCGTCCGCCTTGATCGCCTTGACCACCATGCCCTTGAAGTCAATCGGTAGTCGACGCTTGAGCTCGTCTATGCACATCGTCATGAGCTTGATCCCCTGTCCGAGGGTAATGTCTGGGTGGTGATGCTTGTCGAGGAGAGATAGGCAGTAGTATCTGTCAAGCAATCAAAGCTGTTAGCCAACGATTACTACCACGCAATGATAGTTCTGGGGGCTAAAAGAACGTACTGCGCATAGCCGTGTGCCGCATACGGCACCTCCGCCAGCGACGCTAGGTAATCCAGCCAGTATAGAGAGGGCTTCCCGGTAATGGGATCAACTCCTCCCATGAGCAGATTTACATTGTATGGGTTTCGGGATCGTAGACTGGTGGCGAGTTCTCCTCGGACGAAGTGGGCGAGGCCAGAGGGTGACAGCTCGGTCTCGTTGCGCATGGAGTAGAGTTGGGCATTTCGCTGGATGTATTCGGCGAATTGTACTGTCGTCATCCGTTAGGAAACCCTGAGCTTCTGGCTCCATAAAGCAAGCACAAACTGGAGGGGAGGCTAACCTGTGTCGCCAGCCTCGCCGGAGAAGGCCAGCAGAGTGTGCTTGTTGAGCGCTCTTGTCTTGTCGTCGGATGCCTTGAGGATGGTGGCTCCTCTCATGGCAGCTTTGGAGGCGCCGATGAGGGTAAAGTCCTTGCCGGTGATGCCCAGAAGAACCTCCCTGTTGCGAGCATGTTAGCCATCAGGGCCGCATAGAAGCAAGAGGCGCCTCGAAGGTGCACTGACATGGTGACTGTTGTGTGGTTTGGGGTTGGGTATGATGTATCGTTCGTTGTTGGAGAGCTGCAGAGAGATCGATATCAATTACAGCCCGCCTGCCACCAGCCAGCCAGAGCTTCCCACCTTGAGGTACTACCTCGTCCCGCTAGGCTGTAGCGCTGCGCGTCAATGAACCGCCGCCGCCTGCCCCGTTTGCCTTGTGCCAGAGCTGACCGCCCTGGATCCGGAACCACTATAACCCGGCCTTGTCTTGTGATTGGCGAATAGGCAAGTTGTGGGGTCAGAAAAAGTATAGTGGGGCTCTCTATCTCGAACTTTTTTTTTTTCCTTTGTAGAGGCGGATTGATTTGCTGTGAAGGATTGATCGTACATGGTGGGATAAAACACATGGCAGACATCGGCGAGGCAGATTGAGCCACAATGTCCTCGTTTTTCACAGTCCCCGGAGCGCAGAAGAAGCGGAAGAGGCCTGCAGCTCCCGATGCCCCGAAAAAGAGAGTCGCCGCGGCCTCGAAATCGTCTGCCAAGTCTGCGAAATCCGCGAGGCCGGCCGCCGCAAAGCAAGCTGCCTCGACGACGACTAAGAGGCGAGCTGAGCGTGACGACGATGACGAGTCCATCTCGGGCAGCGACTCGGATGACGATGAGAGCATCACAAGCGCCTCCGACGCGACCAGCGACTCCGACAAGGACTCCGACAACGAGGGCGAGACGGCCGCCGAGAAGCGGCTGCGGCTGGCCGAGCGATACCTCGACAATGTCCGGGAGCACGTCGACGAGATTGGCTTCGACGCCGCCGAGATCGACCGGGACCTGATCGCCGAGAGGCTGCAGGAGGACGTTGCCGAGTCCAAGGGCAAGGTATATCGCCAATTGGCCTCGGAGCTGGCCTTTGGGAGCGCCAGCCAGACCCTTTTCCGATCAAACACAAACTCCGTCACATCCATTGCCGCCTGCGCGCCGTACGTCTACACCACCACCAAAGACCTGTTCCTGCACAAGTGGAGGATACAGGATCTGCCCCAGCACCAGTACCCGCAGACCACGAAACGGAAACCGAAGAAGCCCCCGGCACCGCCCAAGAAGCGGCCGGAGCTGGAGATGTGGATCAAGGGAAACGCCGCCAAGCAGCAGGACAAGGACTACAAGAGGCACTCGGGGAGGATCCTGGCCGTCGCCGCCTCGTCGGACGGCAAGTTCGTCGTCACCGGAGGCCAGGACAAGAAGATCATCGTCTACGACGCCGAGACGCTCAAGCCTCTCCGCGTCTTCACACAGCACCGCGACGCCGTGACGGGCCTGGCCTTCCGGAGGGGCACCAACCAGCTCTACTCGTGCTCCAAGGACCGCACCGTCAAGGTCTTCAGCCTCGATGAGCTCGCCTACGTCGAGACCCTCTTCGGCCACCAAGACGAGGTCCTCGACATCGACGCCCTCGCCCAGGAGCGCTGCATCAGCGTCGGCGCCCGCGACAGGACCGCCCGCCTGTGGAAGGTCGCCGAGGAGACGCAGCTCGTGTTCCGCGGCGGCGCCGTCGACAAGAAGCCCCATCCCGGCGTCAACCCGCGGTCGCTGCTCCACGAGGGCAGCATGGACCGCGTCGCCATGATCGACGACGAGCTCTTCGTCACCGGCAGCGACAACGGCAGCATCGCCCTCTGGAGCGTCGCCAAGAAGAAGCCCGTCTTCATCCAGCCCCTTGCTCACGGCCTCGACCCGCCCCTCGCCCCCGAGGCCGCCTCCGCAGAGGCCCATCCCGACCCCAAGGCCATCCCCGCCCCGCTCCCTCGCTGGATCACCGCCCTCAAGACCATCCCCTACTCAGACGTCATCCTCAGCGGCAGCTGGGACGGCCACGTCCGCATATGGAAGCTGTCCGAGGACAAGAAGAGAATCGATCTCGTCGGCACCCTCGGCGGCTCCCCCGAAGACCAACCCTCGGAAAACGGAGACGATCAGCCCAACAACGGCACACCCAAGGCGCAGCGCCCCAGGCCCATCCACGGCGTGATCAATGACATTGCCGTCTTCGAGCGCGGTGACCGCGGCCAAGACGGAATCTGCATCGTCGCCGCCGTGGCCAAGGACCACCGCTTGGGAAGATGGACGGTGAACAAAGGAAACGGAGTGAGAAATGGCGGCGTCGTGTTTGAAGTCCCCAAAGTCCCCAAGTCATTGACGAACGGTGCACATAAAGAGGGGGAAGAAGGAGGGGATGTGAACGGCGCAGATGAAGATTAAGAGGGTTCTTGGAAGGAGAAGCATGAAAGCAAAGCAAAGGTTTTAGAGGGTTTAAAAAGGTACATAATAGCAGAGTCAAAACATTGTTTGCACAGCATCGGTTCTTGTATATATAGATTCACATTGTTTGAAAGGGCCACATTTCGGATTGCATGCATTCAGATATACACCGTTCTGATACCGTGGTTCTCTTGGAAGATGTCTTCTCTCTTAGTCCATCAGATGTTCCTTCGCCTACCAGCTTTTTTGTGATATGTCCCGCCAACACAAGTATCTGCCGCCGTCTGTTCATTGACTCTGGCACATGACTTGATCTGGAAGTCTGGTATTCAGAACGCTGTGTCAAGGAAAAAGAAAAAGAAAAAAACGAAAACAAGGAAAATGCCCTGCTATGCTCAACCTACAGCCTTTGCCTAAGGCCGCCAATGCAATTGGTATATAACCAACAAAAAAGAAAAGACAAATGGATAGCGTACCCACAACTCCCCCGTCCGTGATGCGTGCCCGTAATTGCATCATGATATCAACCTAGGGAAAAAAAATGAAAGAACAAGGAGCAATATGAAAAGGTGGCGGGAAGTGCCACGATTTAGAGTACAATTGCCTCAATCGGTTTGCTGGACCTGTCTATCCCATCGTATTTGGGTTGGTCGCCATCAGATTCGATGCATTCAATCGACTGTTGAGGGAGCCGTGACGACGAGGCATTGGCAGATGTTTTGTTCCCTTGTTTCTGCAGTCGAGAAGATGAAGTTGGTCGAACAGCTGGTGCCTCGACCTCTTCCACAGAAGAGTGTCGGCGCCGGCGTTTTGCAGCCGTGTTTGAGCCGCCTTTATGCTCGCTTGGAGGAACTGACGTCTCCTTCATGATCTGGACATCGTCGGACGAGGTGACAAATTCGCTCCTGTCGAAACCTTTTGGAGGTTTCAGCTCCACGACGATCTTGTCGAATGATAGAGGGCTGACAAATCGGGGGCCTTCAGATGACTTGCGCTTTGGCTGAGCTTCTGCAGCTTGATTTGATGCTTCACCATTCAAGCCCCCGCCCTCCTGCCTCTTGGCCTCTTGTACGGATTCCGGCGATGATCGAGCTGTTCCTGATGCCGACTTCCTCTCTGGAGATTCTGAGGGGAAAGAGCCGGGGATCTTGGGTGCTGGAGGTGACAAAACCACAGGCTTAAGCGGTGAGGAAGCCTCTGGGCTTGTCTCGACCAGAGACTTCCTCTTCGCCTTGCGAAGTCTTTTCTCCTCCTCAAGTTGCTTGTGGCGCTTTTGCTGTTCAGCTTGAAGATCAAACAGGAGTTCCCTGATACTGTTTCGTATATCAGCAGGACGAATGTCCCACCCCAGTTCTTCCTTCATCAGGAGCTTACGTGCTGCCTCATCGGGGTTCGCCAAAAATTCTTCCATATACGCCAGTATGAATACGCCGCAGTCGCAATAGTTGTTTTGTTCTGGTATGCCTCTCGCTGTCATGCCACTGGGCACGGTTGTCAAGTCGATTCCCCTTTTAGCCTTTGCTTCCTCGATCAAATATTCCTTCAACGCCCTGCAGGTTGGGGCATGTGCGTTTCCCAGCGAGTCGAGGGTGATGATTCTCGGTTGGGAAGGATCAAACTTGGATTGCGTAGAGCCTGTGGTTCTCCTCTTCTTAAGGGGGGCGAACCGCGCAACCGATGAAGATATACCGCCGCACAATGAGACGTCATCGGCTTTTTCTCTTGATGCTGCCGTTGTCACAGCTGTATCCTCCAGAGTGATGTCCGTCAAATTCCGTTCCACTGATGACAGGTGGGGGGACCTAGGTGCATCCGCCACTTCTATGGCATCTGGTATCGGAGTCGTCGACGCTTCTCTCTTCTTATCCTCTGAGGCGGATTTGACTGCGTTGGGAACGTTGCAGATAATGGCCAGATACCAGTGAGCATTTTCGTTGACTGGCACAATGATGTAGTCATAAGAGAGCAAATCCACCTTTGCCGTCCATGATCTGACGCCGTCATAGTTGATCTTGCCCTTTGTGGACTTCAACTTCTCGAAGAAGAAGGTACTGAAGAAGTAGATTTTGCGAAGCAGTTCAGGCCTCTCCTTTTCCAGGCTGTATTCTAGATAGCGGATGTAAAAGTTGATGAGATTGTCGTTCAAGAACTCGCCCTCATCTAGTCGGGGAATGTCGACTTTGTCCACCGTCGCTCTATTCTTTCCGGTCGGGGGGAATATAAGCGGTGCCTGCCATGACTCATGCCAGTCTGGATGCAGCGTTGTCCAGGTGTCTGGAGAGGGCATTCGACGGCGCGTAGGTGGATCGTACGACCTCGTCAACCGGCGAACGTCAAACTCGTACCCAAGCTCCTCTTCCGGCCGTTCAACGGCTACAGAGTCTTCGGAACTCTTGGCTGATCGCATTAAGCTGTCTATGAGCTTCGATCGATTCGATCCTGAGCGTCGGTCTGGGCTCGATGGTGGTGCAATTGCACCCTCTTGCCTCTTATCGTCCGTCTTATCGTCCGCGGATGTCCGGCCGTTGGTTTTGGAAGTAACATTTGAGGCTATCCAATTCTTTGCTTCAATGAATGCCTTCTCGGCCTTCTTTTCTAGCTCAGCACTGTGATAGTCAGGTTAGCCTCATGTTCCACTAGCAATCATAACACGAAAAGACATGCATGAACTTCTCTTCAGCCCCCGACGACTTCAACGTTCCACGGAATGTTTCAAGGCCGTTACGAGTTTCAAACTCCAGATAGAGTTTTGGGCCAGCATCTCCTTTTTGTGAACGCAAGACGAAGGCGGAGTGAGTGTCCTCCGAAGTCCCGAATAGACGGATGTCGTCGAGGTCAATGCCCAGCCAAGTAAGCTTGCCCAATTTCTGGCCATCTTCTGCTATCGGCTCAAGCCTTCTTCCTTCTTTCCCTTCACGACGCAAGGCGATCGCACTCTGAGATTCGTCACGGCTGTAGATGGACTTCCCACAAACTGCCCTAGAAATACCCATGCTTTTCACTGATGGGCAGCGCGAGGACTTTTCGAAAATTGTAGGCTGTATGTCACCTCTCATGGGGATCTTGCTGGGGGCACCAGAAGTGCCGGAGGATCGTGGGAGGGCAGCGCTCTGGCGGCTAGCTCCGCCGCGCTTCGTGGGATCGGCTTGGAGTTCATCTTCCGAAATGTCTATGGGTTCTTTCGTTGTCGAAGGCTTTTGGCGTTTGAAGATGGGCCTGGGAAGGTTCGATCGGTTCCGTTTCGTAGAGGAGTGTGAGAAGAGATCGGAGGTAATGTTCGCGGGTCCAGCATCAGGCTCTTGGGCACCAAGGACATCTGGGCTGTCTTGAACAGATATGAGGGTGCCTCGCTTTTGAAATGCAGGAGATCGGAAGACGTCTGGCCTAGTGTTGACCGCACCGTTCAGCGGCGAACTCAGATTTGTGCCGGTCCGGCTTCTACGTCGTCGCGGCGGTTTCCTGCCCGTATGGAGTTTGTCGTCCAGGGCGCGGTATTCGCGCAAAGCCAGATTGCCGGCGCCTGCGATTCCCGCGCTTGAGTTGCTTCTGTGGTCGACTGTATCGTCGTCGATGAGGACCTCGTGAATGCCGTTCTTGGCTCGAGATGGTTCGAAGTAATGGCTGGTCTCGCCATAGGTCCGCGTGTTGTCCTTCTTCTGGCGCTTCGCGGCTGGCACGTCTGGTTCGTTTCGGGCCTCGAATCGTTTTACGCTGAGGGTATCGACTGGTTTGGTTACCGACCCATTGATGCGCTTCTGCTCGCTGTCTGTCAGCAACTCTGAAACATCATCTGGCAAGAAGCGTGATGACCAACCAGCCGGTCCGGACCCATGGTAGCCTTGCGATTCCGGTCCCTTCTAAGAGTCAGCAAGCTTCGAGAGGATAAAGCGAACATCGTCTCCCTACACATAATCCGGAAACGAGTGTGCATCGGAGTGATAGCGAGCAAACGGGCTGCACGGAAGTCAGCAGGCAGAACCCAAGCAGGACGAAAGATGAGTGGCAGCCATTGGATGCCAAAAAGAGTTCCACATACTCCAACCGTGATTTCGTCGGCTTGCTGTTGTCTGGAGGTTGCTTCTTTTCCCTGCCTTTGTCCGCGTGACGGCCTAGAGATTTTTCTTCAACAGCCTCGACAGGACTTCGGCTAGCGACGCTTGGCGCCGATTCGGACAACCTGAGGCCGATGAGATCAGCTCGTGTATGACAAGGTAAGACGGCAAGGTGCGCAAAAAAAGGGATGCAGATAGAGGGAGGAAAAGAAAAAGGAGATATGGCTCACTTTGGGGCGACGGCAGCTGCAGGCTCTCGCTGCTCACGAGGATGAAGCTCTGGCGACGGCGGCGATGGCGGTTGAGTCTGTCCAAGATTCCAGGCATTAGCGGAGGGGTCCGCGAAATTTGATGGCAAGTCCGGCCCGTGGCCAGCATGGAGCCCAGGGCAGGCAGGGCAGTTGGCAGGCAGAGGCTCGCAGCGGCCACAGCGGCCATGGCGCCAGGCTGTGCGGTGAGCTGGCGCGGGTTAGCGGGCTTTGGCCACTGCGTCACAGCGCGTCAGGGCCCACGCGCCTCCCAGCCAGCTTGTATGTATGTTCAGGTTCCGCTCATCAGGGAGAAGCGACAAGACAGGTTGGAAGAGAGAGCCGGAGACAGCAACGACAGCCAGCCTCAGCTGCCATCAAGGTGGGCAGATCGGTGAATGCTCAGCAGGTAGAAGGCGATGGGATACTTTGGACAAGCGGCCATTCTTCGCCTTTCACCCGACTTCCTCCGGCATTCGCCTCTTACACCTCCTCTCCTCTCCTCTCCTCTCCTCATCCCGATCTTCCTCGACTTGCATTCACTTGCCTCGGACTTTGCTGCATCGCCCTTTGCGCCTCTCGTCACGCTGGGTGGCTTATCGTCGTCGCTGTGAGCCATGGTGTTGCCGCTGATTGTCGCATGGTTCACTCAAGCATAGGTAGCTCTGTCGGTGGCTGTCCGAGTGAGCAACGAGCGCTGGTGTCGCTGGCCGTCTATCGCATCGGGGCGATTCCAACCATGTGTGGCCTAAAGCTTGCCATGAAGAGATAGGTATATAATGACATATACTAATACTAAGGTAAGGTAGGTTGGTAAAAAGGAGAGAAGGGAGGGGGGTGAGGCTGGCACAGAGAAACAAAGTACTCGTCCCTTGCAACATGATAAAAAGAGGCGGAGAAACGGTCGCGCATACCTGATAGCAGTACCTTATGGTAGATACCTGCGGTATACTTGGAGGGGAGGGAACCGGAAGGTCACCACCGCATACTAAGGTTGGAAGGCATTACCCAGTACAGATCATGTGAAGCGCCCCTCCGCCCAGGCCGAAGAGACACCCAGATCGCTCTCTGCAATCAAACGACGGGGGATAATCTTTAGCACCTGGATTCTTGACGCCCAGCCATCGACAAGTACAAGTGACCTCCCGCTCGCGCAGATGCACCCGCCAACCGCTTCCCCGCAGCCTCTCTGCCATCAGCCAATAAGCATGCAGGCCCATCTGCAAGGCTGACAGCTCCCAGCTTCCGTCCCCAGCGACGTGTCCTGTTAAGCTAAGTACCTAGGTAGGCAGGCAGGCCAGGGTCTTGTTAGCAGGGCCACATGCTGTGACCTTACAGCCTCATCCTCCACATCGTGTCTTGTAATTGTCATTGGAAAAGCTGCTTCCATCGCTGCGTTCTGCCAGCGATCTGGATCGTTGCCCACCATGCACAGCTCCTTCACCCGCCTCCAGAATGTCTTTGGCTTCTTCACAACAGTCGCCTTCGTCCTCGGCGCATTCATCGCCGCCACAGATCTCGGCGCTCCTCGCACCCCCAGCGGCATCATAAAGACTGACAACGTCCAAGTGTACGTCCTCCACCGGCCAGCCTGCTTCTGAATCGCACGAAACTTCAAGGACTGACAATTTTCTTGCCAATCCGAAAACAGCGTCAAAGGTAGACCCCACTACTACTCCTCCAAGAAGGAAGAATACGCCATCATCCGCTTCTCCCTCGAAGCAGACCTCTCCTCGCTCTTCACATGGAACACCAAGCAGCTCTTCGTATACGTCACCGCAGACTGGACCGGGCCCGACAATGCCAACAACTCCGCCGTCATCTGGGACAGCATCATCACCAACCCCAGCGCCGACCACCTCCAGAATCTTGGCCCTGTCGCGATGAAGAAGCTCAAGAGAAGCGCCGAGGGGAAAAGCATTGCGCCCGAGCGGTACGTCCTGACAACGAGAGAACCGCCTTTGGCTAGCGACATTGCTTGATATATATATATATATATATATAAGTGTTTGATCGTATGCTAATTGCTTGCAGAGGACTACTCAAGCTCAAGAACCAGAAGCCAAAGTACCAAATCACCCACCCCAGCGGCAAGATCGCCGAGACGCCCGACGTCACCCTGCGACTGCATTACAACGTACAGCCCTGGGTCGGCCTGCTGACCTGGAACATGGACAAGCCCTTTGGTGTGTGGAAGGCCATGAGCGGCGGCGTCAGCGACTACTTCACTCTGCCTGCCCTTAAGACCAAGGACAGCAAGGCCAAAGACGCCAAGGAGAAGGCTGGTGCCAAGAGCAAGACCAAGAGCAAGAAACCCTAATGTCCCCTTCTGATCTATGAGCGTAAGCTAGTGCAAAAAGGAAGAGGGAAAAAAAAACGTAAAACATTGGGCACTTTAGGGCTCCTGAAAGAAACAGAAGTGACGTTGATTGACATGTATTTCTCGTGCTGTTATAGCCACATCGAAGCTGGGGAGGTATATACTATTACGGCACTAGAGATCCTAGGCCCTAGATACACCCTTATTACATGGTGAGAACATGCTATGCTATCGTAAACAGCATCCATGAGCTTAACAGCAACTCCAAGAAGGAGGAGGAAAAAAAAACAGCTCAGGACTATATTCCTTCACACTTCACCATGAACAAGGTGCGTCACTCCTCATGCCTGATGAGCCACGGTCCCGTCACGGCCACGATTGGGGTTGCCTGCGCCACGTCCTCTTCCTCCCCTGCCGCGGCCTCCACGTCCACCTCGCGGTGCATCGAGGTTGGCAGGAGGCGGGACGCTGTTATAGCTTGTCGGCTGGCCACGTCCAGACCCAGCTTGGGGAGCAAAGGAACCCCTGTTGCCGCCGTTGCTGTTGCCATTGCCCCGGCCACGCCCTTGACCTCTACCACTGCCGCCTCCTCTTCCGTTCGCTTGATTGAAGTTCTGAGCCTGGTTAGCATCACCGCCAGCTGAACTGCCTCCCTGCGGGCCTGGCCGATAGACCATCGTGCTATGCAGTAGATTCGGCTTGCCCCCGCGCGCCGCACCGCGGTTAGGGCTGTTTCGCCCACGGCCGCCATTTGGCGTTGAGTCGCCGGAAGCAGCTCCACGCCATCCGCCGCGCAATGGGGGAGGGGCCGGAGCATCCTTGTATTGCGTGACGCCGACTGAGCCGTAGGACCCAAAGGATGACGTCGCCGGAGTAGCGCGTTTCTGTCGCGACTTAGACGACGCAGAGACAACCTGCCAGTTCGTGGTATTCAGCACGGTAGATGATGACACCGTCTGCCCCCGGAACATTGGAGCTCTGTCGCCAAGAGTCGTGCCGCTCATGAAGGGAACGTCCCAGACGACATCCAGCAGGACAGCAGTCGCCGTACGAGAAATCCCAACCACGGTTCCCCGAGTTGCGAGGGGAACCTTGCCAGCGGCGGCAACAAACGTGACTCGATCTCCCAGCTTGAAGGTCTGGTTGCCCAGTACCATCTCCGAGTCTGACGGCTTCAAGAGAGCCGTACGGGGCACGCCATTAAGCGTCTTGGGGGTGAATTCCAAGGTCGCCTGATGCAACTGCTCCCCGACTTTAGCCAAGGTCATGACGACGTCTGAGTCAAGCTGCTCTGCGTCGAGCGGAACTCGTTCAAACTTGCTCGTCTCTTGCTTCTTCAACCATGCCACAATGTCTTTGATTCTCTGAGAGGCGACGCTTGGGTCCTTCCACAGGTCATTTTCGTAAATCTCGCTTCTTTGGGGTTCCTTCTGAATGGCCGCGAAGAAGTCGGGGAAAGCTACCATGTAGTCGGCGATCAGCTTCACTGCCTGGTTGGAAAACTCCCATCCAGTCTCCGATTTGCGTGAGTATCCTAGCACCTTGAGCTTGCGACCTTCGAACTTCAGGTTGAGACCCAAATTGAGCTTCAAGCCGGCACTGCTAATGACCTGGAAAGACGAGGTTATCTTGCTGAGAATAAGGGGGTGGATGCCCAGCTTCTTGGCAATTGCGAATGACGGCGTGTATGGGTTGCTGCGTTCCGCTTGGGCAATCATCTGCTTGGTGACCTCTGGTTCCTTGTTCTTTGGGATGGAGACAACGATGTTTGCTTTTCCATTGACATGCCCTGTCACTTCCAATGGGCGGCCGTAGGCGAATTCTCCCAGGAAGAAAGCGTTTGTGCCAACTGGAAACTCTTCCTCAATTGGAAGGGCTGGCCTCTCGATGAAGCGCTCATCCTCGTTGACCACTTGCTCTACAATGGTCTGCGACGCGTAAACTTTGCGCAAGCTCGGATTTTCGGCATATTCCTTGATCAAAGCGCCTTCTTCCGTCTTGATGAGACCCTTGAGCATGTGAACGTGGACCAGGCATTCAACCTGACCAATTGTGATGCCCAGACGCTTGGCATGCCAATGCTCCAGGAACTCAGCCTCCTTTGCATAGTCAGAAGCCTCTCTGTTGCTGTGGTCTCTTGTGACAATATCTTGCTCGTTCTCAGCAAGCTCATAGGTAAAGAGTTCGTCTTGTACCTTGACGACCTTGGCTTCTTGGAGGAACGGATAGCCCACAAAGCAACGCTGTCCCATCTTGGCTTTCCATGTCTCAACCTTTGTCCGCTGCTCGGTCTCGGTGAGGGTGACGATGATGCTTGGATTTCTGCTATCTTGCTGGAAAACGTTGACTCCGGCTCCCTCCACCAGCTGCGCCGAGTATGGCAGCGTGTGCATTGTTGGGAAGCCGGCAAGAGCCTTGATGTTGACTAGAGCCCCGTTTGTCAACCCCGAGACGTATTCGAGCCCCTCCATGCTGGGCAAGTCGAAAATGTTCTCAATGCAGCGGCAAGACTGGATATCAGGGAAGACGCCAGGGAGGGGGGAAGGGTAGGTGAAGTTCACATCCGGGGAGTATGTGAATTTGAGAGGGACTCCAAAGCCATTTCGTGCCTTTTCGTCGTCACTCAGAAGCTCGTTTTTCGGAGCCATGGCGTCGAGAAGGCGTGCTTCGTCAATGAAGGGAATCTTCACAACTGCTTCCCATTCCATCTTTTTGCCGTTCATGTCTAGCTCAAAATCTCTCGGGTAGAAATCGACGATGGGAGAATTCGGGTTGGTCATCAAATCGTGATAGACCGATGGCACGATCTTCTTGCTTCGGTCTGGTAACACACCCATGAGCTGTTCGTAGGGCTTGAAAGGTTGGCCCTTTTTGAAGTTGAGGTCGGCACCAACGCCCTTGGTAACGTCTGTCATCAAAGATATATCGTCAGTCAAAGAGGTATTCCACAGAAGAGCAAAGAAACCAATGCCACGGCACTTACCCGACGGGAGTGGTGCGTAGTGATATTTGTAGAACCACGGCCACGACGCGATGCCCTTGTAGTAGTAGTAGAGCACCCACTGTAGTCCCTGTACATAATTCTCGCAGAGTTTCTTCTGCTCTTCTTCATACTTGTCTTGAGGCCACTCCTCGAATTTTTGTAAGTAATACTTGGTCTTCCAACCTTGGTATTTCTGTTGGTACAGCTCATCATACTGCTTCTGGGCATCTTCAGGAGTGACGTCGACAACAGTTGCCTTATCGTACGACTTCATGACACGGTAGGCAGCCAGGTTGCCTTCCTCGTCCTCGTCCTCGTCATCGCTGGTTTGTTTCTTTGGGGGAAAAGCAATCTTCAGGCGGCGGTTACCCTCTTCATCCTCCTCAGTGTACCACTGTAAATGCATGGACTCGGCAAGGTCCTGGACGAATTTCCGGTCCTCTGCCTTGAGATCCGGGCCCAAGTCGAGTGGTTGTTGAGACCTATTTGAGATGAAGGGACGAATCTTCTGCTTCCACAGATCCCTCTGGAAGGACGTAATGATGAGCTGATTGTTCTTCTGGGACCTTGGCTTGGTTCCGTTCCTCTCTTCGAGCGCCTTCTCCATCTGCTTGGATGCGAACCACTTCTGATCGGAAACCTCGTATTCGAACTGACTCAGCTCAGTCTTGCTGAGTTCATCTAGCAGGCGTTGCAGACGAGGCATGCTGATAACGCCATTCTCGTTGATGTAGCCGTCGCACTGTGGCAGCACAGACTTGTATATCCTGAACATGTTGGCCAAAGCACCCTCGTTGATGTGAAGGCCGGGAAGGTTTGGCAAGAAGTCGTTTCCAACGAAGAACGCCATTAGAATGAAGTCATCAATGACTCTTTCGAGATCGAAGGGGAAAGACAGAACACCTTCCTCCTTAAGCTCCTGAAATTCCATTTCCAGGTATTCCCTCACAATACAGAGATGGAGCAAGTAGAAGTTCTGGTGTTCCAGTTCCTTTGACTTCGTCTTGGATGCTCGTCCGAAGGTAACTTCTTCACGTAGCAGACAGAAATGAGGATCATGGCTGAGGAGCCCCAGCATGATGAGATCAGCATCGAGACCGTACAGACAGTGTCGGACGTTTGGGTCGTAGTCAGGCTGCGCTTTCGCGTTTCGGATATACTCCATGATCTTGTGCTCTCCTTCGCCGGGAACTTCATGTCCGGACAGAACAATGTCGCATCCTTGCCAGTCGGTGTCTTCTGAGACCTTCTTGTTCACGAAATAACGGAGTTGCTGGGACAGCTTGGCCATGAACTCGGTGCCTACAGAATCGAGAGCATGAGCAGTTAGTACCAAAGCTGAAGGGGCAGGGGCTGGGAGATTCAAAAGGGGGGGAGGTTGGACGGACCGGGAGTAATGCAGTTGCTGTCAAATGGCTCCTCTTTCGGAAGCTCGATTCCTTCCCGGATCGCCTTTTCGCGAGCCTTTTCAGCATCCAAAGCTGTCCGAAACCGTCTAGCACGCTGCTGGTTCATCTTGGCGCGAGGGGCGACGCCATCGATTGCCATGAAGAAAAGCTTCTTAGGCTTGATCTTTCCGAACAAGTGTTCGATGTAGTTGAATATACGGATGAACATTTCTTCTTCGCTGAGTCGAAAGGTGGCATCTTCGCCCGCATCTTTATGTGTGCAGTTGTGGATGATGCCGTTCATGTCGAGCTGACAAGAGACGATTAGCGCATGCTGGAGCAAGTGAAGGGCATCAAGAAAGCTTTCTCACATAGAGACAATCGAACTCAGGAATCCGATTCTCCGCAATCACTTGCGAAATCGCGGGATAGCGCTCCGAGAGCCATCTGAAGAACTTGGGCACACTACACAACAGTCGTATCAGCACTGGTAACGAGGGGCTCTGGCAACCGCGAGACGAACCCCATGATGCCGGCTGCCGGTCAAGTCTGCACCAATTGGATGTACAATGACCAAATGTCGAACAAGGAGGAGCTTGGAGTCGCAGATACCCGATTGCGCAGATACACAGGCCCAGATGTCGCAAAGCTGGCAGATTCGACCGCTGCGGTTCGAGGACACGAAGAGAGGAAAACGCCTGCAAGACACAAAAGGAAGAATGCCCCAGAGCTCCGGCTAGAGACCTGTAACGAATCCGAATCCGACAAGGGCGCCTCCCGACAGTCGTGGTTGGAGCGGGCGAGGTTGTATGGCGAGGTGGTGGAAAGGCGAAAATTGCACTGGTTGCGATCGCATTGGATGACTCTACCACTACCAAGGTAAAGCGAGCTGCCTGCTGGTAAGGTACTTTGGCTGTGCGTGCCTGAGGAGGCACTGAGGAGGTACAGCGGGGAGGGGGGTGGCAGACGAGGCTCAGGCTCTGACGTCCCAGCCTTGCTAACGCCACGCCCCCGAGCAGCCGCCTCGTCACTTAACGCGCGACGCGACCCGTTAGCAGCACTTTTAGGTAAGGTCACCTCTTTTCAAGCTTCTTTTCCCAGCGAACCTCAAGTCGTTTCTTTCTTCTCCCCCCTCTATTGCTCGTCCTTCTCTGCACCTTGATAGCTTCTGTCGTCGCTGAAGCAGAAGCACGTCGGTTCTCTTCTATTGTCTTAATCTAAATCGTTAGCGAGAATTCCATCTCTCTCTCTCTCTCTTTCTCCGATAGTCAATCGTCGTTGGTCGATTCGTCATGGCGCCTCAAGGTTCTGAGCTCGACCCTCCGGATGGTCAGTTGCTGTGGCGGCTCTTCTCGAATATTGTGAGACGATGAATACTGACAGAGGCCTGCAGTCGAAATGGTGCACGAGGAGGAAGATGACCTCGAAGAACGCCTCATCAATGAGGGTAAGGCGTCCAGCTCCCCTGGAGATTGAGCTTCTCACTGCGGAGCATTTCTGAGCTGACTTTTGGTCCAGAATACAAGACGTGGAAGAAGAACAGCCCATTCCTCTATGACATGATCCTCGGGTAAGTCGACACCATCAATGGTTGTTCAAGCTTGGGGATTGAACTGTTTGCTCTAACCTTTCTACTCCAGTACCGCTTTGACTTGGCCTACTCTCACGGTTCAGTGGTTCCCCGACGTCAAGGAACCAGAGGGCAAAAACTACCGCATGCACCGCCTCCTGCTCGGTACCCATACCTCTGACGACAGTGCCAACTTTCTCCAGATCGCCGACGTCCAGATACCAAAAGCCGTGGCGCCTAACCCCGACCACTACGACGAGGAACGAGGCGAGATTGGCGGCTATGGAAAGGCAGGCGATGTTGCTGCTCTCAAGTGCGACATTGTGCAGAGAATTGAGCATCCCGGCGAAGTCAACAAGGCCCGCTATCAACCTCAAAACCCAAACATCATTGCCACTCTTTGCGTTGATGGCAAGATCCTCATCTTCGACCGGACGAAGCATCCTCTGCAGCCAGCAACGCTGGGCAAAGTAAATGCGCAGATTGAGCTGATCGGCCACAAGGCGGAGGGGTTTGGCCTCAATTGGAACCCGCACGAGGAGGGCTGTTTGGTGTCGGGTAGCGAAGACAAGACCATGTGTCTCTGGTAAGTAATGATTTCATTCCACTTGAGACGCCGTTGCTAATCTTGTTTATGATACAGGGACCTGAAAACTCTGGAGGCAGATTCGCGGATACTGCGACCTGCCCGCAGATACACACACCACACCCAAGTTGTCAATGATGTTCAATACCATCCCATCTCAAAGAACTTCATTGGCTCTGTCTCAGACGATCAGACTCTGCAGATTGTTGATTTGCGATCTGCCGAGACCAACAAGGCCGCTCTTGTGGCAACGCGTGGCCACCTGGATGCCATCAACGCGCTGGCCTTCAATCCCAAGTCCGAAGTTCTCGTTGCCACAGCCTCCGCCGACAAGACGATTGGCATCTGGGATCTACGAAACGTCAAAGACAAGGTGCACACTCTCGAGGGCCACAACGACGCGGTAACATCCCTTGCCTGGCATCCCACCGAAGCCGGCATTCTGGGAAGCGGCAGCTATGATCGGAGAATCATCTTCTGGGACCTGTCCCGCGTTGGCGAAGAGCAGTTGCCTGATGACCTGGATGACGGCCCGCCTGAATTGTAAGTTACCGACATGTCCCTGTTCTCTTTGCGCTCGAACGAGATGACAGTGCTTCTCCTCGATGAATCCCATGTGCCTCGTCTGGCCAAAGCTAACCAAGTATTCGTCATTGCAGGCTCTTCATGCACGGCGGCCACACAAATCATCTTGCCGACTTCAGCTGGAATCCCAACGAGCCTTGGTTGGTTGCCAGCGCCGCCGAAGACAACTTGCTACAGATCTGGAAAGTCGCAGAGTCCATTGTTGGCAAGGATGATGGCGACTTGCCGGTCGATGAGCTTGACCGATAGATGAGGTGGAAGTTCTGGGAGAAGAGTCGATCTTCATAGGATGAAGGCGAGGAAAGGTTCTGGCGCGGAATGGCACATGTCCGCGCGAAATGGGCCAGGCAGATGAGATCTCTTGGTGTCAAAGTCGAGGCTGTGAATGGTGAGGAAAAGAAGTTGAACCCCAGAGAAGATCCCCCAAACCCTGTGAATGATGAAGGCCAGGGTGATGCGGATGGGGATGAGGATGAGGATGAGGATGAAGACGAGGGTGAGGACTATGATGGTGATGATTATGAGGACGGAGATGAGGGCGAGGATTATGAAGACGGAGACGATGGTGAGGACTATGAGGGCGAGGGTGACGAGGGCGATGGTTACAATGATGAGCCCGAGACTGGCGAGGAGAAGACTTTTGAGCACGAGGTCATTTTGGACGTGAGGGAACCGGCTTTTAATTGGAGCTGGTGGTTTGAGGGTCGGGGGTCGACGTACTACCCTCAAGGACGCTAGTTCTTGATCGCAGAGGTTTTGTGCCTTGGAGACAGGCTTATGGCGCTTATACAGGAAATACAGTTTCAATTGTCGAGATCATGAAAAGATGCCGAGTATCATCCTTTTAAGACCGTTGCAGGTAGGTGTGCGTGGCTTACAGCTGGGTGGCAGCTGGCAGCCGCCAGGGGCGGATGTTTTGGTCTGCCTGCTTTTCCATTGTGTGTCATTGGCCAACGGCTCTCTTCTCACTTCACCTTGGCCTCACCTGGAGGCTGTTGTTCACCTCTACATGATTCCTTGATGCTTCTGAGCAGTTCCATTGGCTGATCGACGCAAGAGAGCGGACTGCCCACCTCAGGGGCATTCACTCCCGCCTCACACCTTGACCCAATTTTGCACATCTACTAGGTCGCCTATCTGCAACTCCTCTCCTCTGTTACCCATCGCTCCTAATACTCTCCTCTGCAATCTACATCTCAACTTCCCAAGTCCTGAAGAAAGTCCTGTTCAAATACAAAGAAGTCCATTACTGTCTCCCCCCTTCACGCTCGTTGTTCACAACAGCTCAGCACAATGGCAACCAACAACGAAGCTGCTGGCCCGAGCAACAGGCCACAGAACGACCCCCTCGGCTGGATTGACATTGTCGAGGCCGTCAGGCGACGAGCCCTGGAAGAAGAGCTCCTCGAAGAGGCCAAAGATGATCCCTGGGCGCAGAGCGTCCGCAACTACATGCTCGAGGGCATGGGCATCGACGTCGACGTGATGGAGGAGCTCTTCCACCAGATGGAGTCTGAAGGGAACGGCAGCAGACGCATGAAGTGGATGAGCGACGATTTGGGATTGCTCAGGGGCATGAAGCTCATGGGCATCCAAGATGTCGACGACGGCGGCATGAAGAAGAAGAAGTTCAAGTTCGACGACGTCCTCATCGACGAGTTCTTCAGCGGTGTCAATCCGTACGAGGACGCCAACGAGAAGGGCAGCGACATCTCGTACGAGGGCAAAGACATTCTCACCTGCATCGCTCTGAATGTCGAGCTCGCCGTTGAGCTGGGCAAGCAACTCGACGGCAAGGATATCCTGAACCTGTGCCTCGCCAGCCGTCACTTCTACAACACCGTCAACACCTATCTGCTCTCCAGCGTCCGCTCATGGATCGAGTACAGAGCCCCCGAGGCCGGCCGCATCTTCCACTTCCAGCTCTACGCAAAGCACCTCGTCGACGATCCGCTCAAGAGGACCTGGGCGGCGCTGAAGGAGGGCCAGACGACGTCGCCCGACAAGGGCAGTCAGGTGCGCAAGGTGCCCGGCCTCAAGTATCTGCAGCTCGTCCTGGGCCGCGACAAGTGCTGCAAGGACATGCTCGCCATCATGGCACGCTGCGGCCACCGGATGCCGAAGACGATGCATCACTCGCTGCTGCGGCTGTGGCTGCTCATGGACGTGTCGACCACCAGGCAGAGGCAAACGATGCTGGAGATGACGAATCTCTTCAGGGACGTCGACTTGTACAACATCCAGATGTTCCTCGTCAAGCTCTCGATGCTCTTCAACGACCCCGTGTATGGCCCCTGCTCGCTCGATCTAGTGCAGCTGATGATGGGCCAAAAGGGGCTCTTCAAGCTCTGGCAGCTCATTACGCGCAAGAAGTTCTACAAGCTCTCCGACATTGTCGAGCTCAAGCTGCGCTACGACATTCCTCTCTTCACCGAGGGCACCTACTGGATGGAGCAATCGCTGCACGCGGTCCAGGGCATCCCCATTGAGGACATTGGCCAGTACCACAGGGAAGGCTGGGGAGCAGGCGGCACCCATCTCTCTCGTCCTGACGAGTTGATCCCCGTAGAGGCCGTGCGACGAGGCTTGAATCTGGATGACCATCTGAACCACATGGTCATCTGGGGATACTTTGACTGGAAGACGGGCGAGAACATTGTTCCCTCCCTGGAAGAGATGCACATTGAGAACGAAGCCGAGGTCCTTGCCAACGTCGACACGACCGAGCACTGGAAGCCGAAGCACGTCTTGAAGAAGCGCTGGAATGAGCTCACGCCCGAGCAGCAGCAGGAGATTCTCGCCGACGAAGAAGACGACCGCTTGCGTGCGCAAGCCTGGAGCAGCACCCTGGACGACGACGACGACGCTGGCAGCCTGGACGGATCTTCAGACTCCGACGCAGACGAAGCGTCGGATCTCGACGACGAGATTCGCCGCGGCTACATCGTTCCTGAGCAGCCAAGGGACCGCGAGTCGACTGTTCCCGACGCTGGCGATGCCCAGGGCTGGGCCAACTTTGTCAATCAGACCTTCTTGGGTGGCCGCATGATGGCGGATCTCAGAGAGGAGGAGAAGGCACGTGCTCAGGCTTCCCGGGAGGAGGATGAAGATGAGCCAGTGATTACCAGTGAGCGGCTATTGGAAGAGATATTTACGGTGGCGAGGATTCAGCAGCTGCGGCGACAGTGGATGGAGAGGAGCATGTCGCAGGTTGGAGACGAAGAGGAGGCTGATGCTGTCGAAGAAGATGGAGTAGAGCAAGAACAAGTAGCGCAGCAAGTCGAGGTGCAAGAAGAGGTCGATGAGGACGAAGAGGACGAAGAAGAAGAGAGTGAAGAGGACGAAGAAGAAGAGAGTGAAGAGGACGAAGAAGAAGAGAGTGAAGAGGACGAAGAAGAAGAGAGTGAAGATGGCGACGAGGACGAGGATGATGGCGATGAAGAAGAAGAAATTGAGGACGAAGACGGGTTTGAACAAGTTGTCGTCGACGCTGAGGATGAGCAAGAAGATGATGACCAGAATGGAGTAGAGTATGAGGATGGGGTTGAGTACGAGGATGGAGTTGAGTACGAGGATGGAGTTGAGTATGAGGACGGAGAGGAGTATGAGGATGGAGAAGAGTATGACGGTGAAGAACACTATGAGGATGGAGAGGAATACGAAGGCCATATCCAATTCGACGACGAAGAAGAAACCCTCGTTGGCGACCCTGAAGACGATGAACTCCTGTTCGCCCCCTCCACCTCTGCCGATACCACCACCACCACCTCCTCCTCCCACCAGGCCAACCTCATCAACCAGACCAACCTTGGCAACCAGTACAGCCCCATCAACCGTCCATACATCATCAGCCCAAGCAACCCCATCAACCAGCCAAACTTTCTCGACCAGTCCAGCTCCAGCAACCACTTCCTCCCCGTCAACCACCCGCACTACTCCAACTTCGTCGACCCAACCGGCCTCATCGACGATACGGACCTCTTTGACGACCAGACCATCAACAACACCGCCGCCCAGATCAACAACCTCCTTCTCCAGTTCTACCACCCCCTCATCAACTACCAGCCCCCCGACGATCCCACCTACCGACCCAGCTTCGTCTCCCAGCCTGGCAACACTACCACCAACAACAACAGCAATAACAACAACACTCATATGATGGACATTGACACGCAACAGCTGCTGCTGCAGCAGCCGTATCAGCTCAGGCCCCCGCCGCATGGATATGCGCAGGGCCCGTTCATGGCGCATGATTTTACGGATCTGGAGATGGAGGATGTGCAGGGCGAAGAAGAGTACCATGAGGACCTTTGAATCCGTTGCCGAGAGCTTATATTGAGCTACTATCTTATGGAGGATCTTGTTAGAGTTGATGTATGAGTAGAATCATCACCCGAGGAAGCGTTCACGACAAGGAAACGATTTGGTAGCAGATTCTACTGCTGATGAGTCTTGAAATTTCATCAATTTGGCAGACGATTCGTAAGGTTTTACGGCAAATAGGTACTACCTGGTAGATGAACGCAGACAAGTTCTCCCTCTAGATAGGTATGTAGCTAAAGAAACACTGCGCAATTCGGTCAACTCACACATGACTGCTTCAACCTCGTAAAACCCAGGCGGTCAGGTAAAGCGGACAAGAGAGATGCCTTATCATACAACAGACATTTACATCATCTTCGGCTCCTAAATTAGTAAGTATCACCAGACATTGATAATATAAATATGAAGAAGGGGTTTCAAAAAAAAAAATTGAGATTAGGAGGATAAGGAAACACCACCACCACCATCACTACCATTCCATCCCGCCTTGTCTCCCTACCTCACTCTAACTTTTTTGATCCATGTTCACATCAGACGTCCATAGGATATTAAAAAGGAGAAGAAGGATAAAATCAACAAAGACATGATAGACTAAAACACTCAGACATTCTTCGCATTTAGCAAATCCTCAAACCGTAACCAACCACCGGGCACCACCAGTTTCCCCTCCCCCTTTCCAGTTGAACCAAATCCTTCATCCTTGGTTCCTTGGGCTTTCTCCTTCTTGCCCCTTTACCAATCTCACCAGCTTTTCGGTATTTGATGAGTGGCTGCCATTCGATCTGGCTCAAACAACCTTTGTGCTTTTCCCTTAAACAAATATTCAGCCCAACTCCCGCCAAGCCGCCCCCTTTCTCGCCGCGCTCCCACTCCAGAAAATGCTCAAACTACCTTGACACCTTTCTCCCCCAAGCGCGCGAACCGAGTGATTGATACAAACGAGTGAATGAACAGTAAGGTACAATGTGTGAAAGAAAGAATGTCCTATGTAAGAGGAATGATTGACTTTATAGGTTAGGGCAAAAGAGCAAAAGAAGAGAAAAACGTTGAAAAGAAGAAAAGGAAGACGATAACGAGACATAGAAATCAGATTTGACGAGGGAAAATAAGAGAACAAAAATCAGAGACCCCCTAGGTTATTTCTGAGTGAACCATCCGACACCGGCAAACTGGATAAGTGAGTCAAACAAGGCCAAGATATACCCTACTCCCTTTCGCTATGCACCAGCACCGGGACAAAGGATTCCAGCAAAAAAAAGAATGCCACGTCCGACCGATAATCGAGTCCACACAACCTTGTTTCCCTTGCCAAGAACCATGTTTGCCCCCCCTTGAGCGCGAAAGAGAACCAATTTTTTTTTTCCTCAGCAAAGCTTGTACCACAAAGACTCGTTGACCCAGAATAGCCGTTGGTGCTTTTTTTCACTTTTGTCTTCCAGCCTTCGAAACGATTCACAGCCCCCTAAAACATGTCCGACACTCCGTCCTAGATCCCCCAAAATCAAACCAAATGCACACCAGCCCCTTTCCCTTGAAATAGCAAGCAAGCCAGGTCCGGAAGGTATTTGCCGAGGTCAAATGCTCTATGTTCATCATTCCAAAGATCGTCGAGTGGGGACCGAAAAGATATACCGAAAGGGGGACCTTGTAACCAGTTGAGTAAACAATCATCATCTATACACGGCGTCTGCCGCAGGGGCTTGGGGTCCCATCGCCCCGGCAAAGAGCACATTTAAGCGGGCGACTTGTTGGGAGTAGCACCAGCACCGTTCTGGCGGGCGTCGCCGCTGACGGTGAGGCCGCCAATGCCGCTGCTCAGAAACGCAAATGGGTCGTTTTCGTTGTTGCCGGGGTTGCCGCTGTTGTTGTTGTAGAAGTTGTTGCCTGGTCCACCAGAGACGGGGCCGTTGGTCGCAGACTGGAAAGCCGCCTCGGCAGCTCTGCTGTCAAACGGGCCGGCAGAATGCGCGACAGGGCCGGAAGCAAAACCCTGGGAGTTCAGGGAGCCCGGGTAGCCGCCAGCGCCGCCGCCCAATCCCGAAGGGAGAAAGTGGCTGGGGGGACCCCCAAAGTGCTGGCCGTAGCCGCCGCCGGAACCGAAGGCTCCTCCAGAAGCGAAGGGGCCGGGGCCCGGGGTACCGGCCATCGAGCCCTGGTTCATGCCGTACTGAGAGCCGTTATCCATGGGGGAGGGGTAGCCGGAATCTGCGACGACAGCAGCACCAGCGCGACTGGCACCACAGCGGAGACAGCAGACGTTCTTCGCAAAATTGTGGTATCCGCACACTTCGTTTCCGCACTTCCAGTCACCAGCACGGAAAGGCACAACGCCGCCACCGCCCATGCGCCCACCGTGACCCATGGGGCCGTGATGACCGCCGTGGTGAGGAGGGGGCATCATGGCTGGGGGTCCGTATCCGTATCCGTAGCCGCCAGGACCTCCCATCTCTCCGGGACCTCCACTTCCAACAGCAGGGAACGAGCAACGGAAGCAAGCCGTGCGGCGCTGGAAATTGGAGAAGCCACAAGAGGGGCAAGTCCAGTCGCCAGGTCGGGGACGGTTCTTGCTCGGCGGGAAGGGCGTCAAGATATCCTGAGCGCGATCCAGGACTCGGCTAGAAGACGGGGAAACCTCAATAGCTTTCTCGTTCAGGGCACGGCCATTCATACACAAGCTCTCAGCAGCCTAGGGGAATCAGTTATGACATATTCCAAAGCACGACATGTCTAAGTCGAGAGCAAAAAGGGGCTGGGGAAGGGATTCTTCCAGCGTGACTCGGACAGATGGGGGGTGGGGAGAGCAGGGCAAGATGAAGAAAATAAGTTAGTGCAGGTTGATGAACTCACTTCCTCGTGAGAAGAAAACACGGCAAAGCCGGTGCCAGTGGGCTTGTGCTGCTCGGGAGTCCGAAGGGTCCAGAAGGCAATAGGACGGCCGCCAAACTGGGTGAACCAGCTCTCCAGCTCGGACTGAGTAGTATCGTGTGGCAGACCAGACATGTGCAAGACCTTGCTCCTCTCAGAGAGGAATGCTCGGACATCCGCCCTGGCATCCATTGGTCTGGTCAACACATCAGGGTGATCCTGGGGGGGTTGAGACTTGCGGATCAGACCACGAAGAACGCGGGCCAAGGTGATGGCTTCCTCCATGGCGCGACGGGGAGAAGCGGGAGCCAGAGCCTGCAGGTGGAAAGGCAAGTTGTGCTTGATGGGCGCACTCGACTGCACCGGCTCCACCTCGAGAGCCGCGCAGATGTTGGAGAGCATTGAGGGCCCAAAGGGCAGAGACTCGGGATGGTGTTGTTGCCATCGCTGATATTCAGTTCGCAGGTCGAAGGTGCGGGAGTGCTGCAGATAAGGAGGCAGCACAACAGCCTTGTCGCGGGCTTCTCGCGGGAGCTGAACTCGGAGGTCCCAGGCGTCGAGGGTGACGAAGACGAAGTCGAGGTTTTTCGACGTCAGATATTCGGTAGCAAACGTGTCGAAGCGGGTGATGGCATCCCTAAAGGTACCAGCGTTTCGGACATGTTCCCACGTCAAAGTCGTCAGGCTCGCTGCGAGGGGAGGAGAAAGCAATCCAAAGTCAGCCCCAGTTTTCGACAATACACCGCAAGCTTAGAAATTTTGAA